GGTAGTGATTAGGTGCCAGAGGGGGAAGGAGAAGGAGGGGGCGTGTTGGTGTGTTTTCTTATTCTGCTGTTGATTCACAGGAAATAAGGACTCTTGGTTGAATTAAACCACTTCCTGTTGCTCTTTCCTTTTCTGTCTATCACTTAGATTAAAATATAACAAGAATCATTCTAATAATGTGTGTTTATAGGTTTCTATTTCATAAATTAAGCATTCACTGTTAGGTGAGTTTATTTCGTTTCATTTTGCCTTTTTGTGTGATTTTGCAGGTTTTTGTATCATAATTGATACATTAGAAATGTACACTCACCGGCCACTTTATTAGGTACCCCATGCTAGTAACGGGTTGGACCCCCTTTTGCCTTCAGAACTGCCTCAATTCTTCGATTGATTCAACAAGGTGCTGGAAGCATTCCTCAGGGAGTTTGGTCCATATTGACATGATGGCATCAGACAGTTGCCGCAGATTTGTCGGCTGCACATCCATGATGCGAATCTCCCGTTCCACCACATCCCAAAGATGCTCTATTGGATTGAGATCTGGTGACTGTGGAGGCCATGTGAGTACAGTGAACTCATTGTCATGTTCAAGAAACCAGTCTGAGATGATTCCAGCTTTATGACATGGCGCATTATCCTGCTGAAAGTAGCCATCAGAAGTTGGGTACATTGTGGTCATAAAGAGATGGACATGGTCAGCAACAATACTCAGGTAGGCTGTGGCGTTGCAACGATGCTCAATTGGTACCAAGGGGCCCAAAGAGTGCCAAGAAAATATTCCCCACACCATGACACCACCACCACCAGCCTGAACCGTTGATACAAGGCAGGATGGATCCATGCTTTCATGTTGTAGACGCCAAATTCTGACCCTACCATCCGAATGTCGCAGCAGAAATCGAGACTCATCAGACCAGGCAACGTTTTTCCAATCTTCTATTGTCCAATTTCGATGAGCTTGTGCAAATTGTAGCCTCAGTTTCCTGTTCTTAGCTGAAAGGAGTGGCACCCGGTGTGGTCTTCTGCTGCTGTAGCCCATCTGCCTCAAAGTTCGACGTACTGTGCGTTCAGAGATGCTCTTCTGCCCACCTTGGTTGTAACGGGTGGTTATTTGAGTCACTGTTGCCCTTCTATCAGCTTGAACCAGTCTGGCCATTCTCCTCTGACCTCTGGCATCAACAAGGCATTTCCGCCCACAGAACTGCCGCTCACTGGATGTTTTTTCTTTTTCGGACCATTCTCTGTAAACCCTAGAGATGGCTGTGCGTGAAAATGCCAGTAGATCAGCAGTTTCTGAAATACTCAGACCAGCCCTTCTGGCAGCAACAATCATGCCACGTTCAAAGTCACTCAAATCACCTTTCTTCCCCATACTGATGCTCGGTTTGAACTGCAGGAGATTGTCTTGACCATGTCTACATGCCTAAATGCACTGAGTTGCCGCCATGTGATTGGCTGCTTGGAAATTAAGTGTTAACGAGCAGTTGGACAGGTGTACCTAATAAAGTGGCCGGTGAGTGTATGTTTGTGTCATTTCCATTCTTTTGCATCACCACACTGGAAAAAATCGAAATCTAGATAAGTATTTTTTTCTTAAAATAAGTGCATTTGTTCTTGGATTATGGAGGTAAAAGAGACATTTTGCCAATGGAACAAGACAATTTACATTTAAAATAAGACAAAACAATTGCATTGTCTTATTTCAAGTACATATTATCTAATTATCTTATTTTAGGAGTAAAAACACTCATTCCATTTGCAAACTATCTCATTTAACTACTCAAATTAAGGGTAAATACACTTAATTTAAGAAATCTTTACTTATATCTAGATCGTTTTTCCAGTGTAAGGACTAATTCATGAATACAATTATTTTGTTATTAATTGTACTTTTTCACTTCAAAACCAGCTGATGCACGGAATAATAAAATTAAGCTGAAAACCTAAAATATTATGATTAATAGGGAGTTTTGTTAATCTTTGTACCTTTTTTAATGGTTTTGTAATCATTTTATAATTTTTTTTAATATCATGCTTACTATATTACTTGATTAAAAGTTTTTCTCTCCACTGTCGCTAAAAGCATGCTTGGTGTGAGGGTTTGCTGTACGGTCAATGAGTCGATGCAATCAACTGCTTTTTCCGTAATTCCTTGAGTGTCGTGAATTGTCACTATAGAAATAAACAGAATTACATTGAATTAAATTAATCAGATTTTATCCTTTTTTTGTGCAAAAAACTGCTTGATAGGAGACCTTATTTTCCCATTGTTTGCTGCTGTTTTAGAACCTGAATGTGTCCTATCTTTTTTTTCATTTTGCACCAAGTTATTCTTTCACCTTCTTACACCTTCTAGACAAGGCGAGTCCTGAAGGCTGATCTTACTGTCGCCTGAGAGGCTGTTTTTCAGTGTGAGATGTTTTGGAACAGGAGTTCAAAGGTTATCCAACATCCCTCAGTTTGTCCCAAACTGTCTGAAACTTGTTTTGGTTACGTTGCATGTTAATCCCTCCCAGCTTATGTTTAAGCGTTAAGTAGTGAAATCCTTTATTTGACCCAAACAGACAGAATATTGTGGACCGTATCTGTTCTCCTCGAAGGAATTTAATGAATGCTGCTTGAATGAAAAACACCGATCCGACCATTTTTTCCCAAAAACACGTCTTAAGTATGGAGGGTGATGAGTGCCGCAACACAAAAAATAAATAACCAATGAAATAATTAATCTTTAAGTTTGAAATAAAATCTTTATATTTTTCTGAGGCTCATATAATGCATTTTATTCTTATTAAATCAATTCTATATTTTGTTTTCCGGTTTTAATAAATTGATTAAACTGGATTATTATTATTATTATTAAATTAAAAACAGAACATTAAAACAGAGACGGAAGTTTGAGGAACTTAGTGAAAACTAGGAGACGCTTAGGAGAAACAAACATAAGAAAGAAGAGAATCCAGCAATGAGGAACTGCAGAGGAGGTGTAAATATGGGAGACAGGACAATAAATAGGCCAATCAGCTGACAGGGAGCAGGTGTCATCAGAGGGTGAGAGATCATATCTCTCCTATCCTGGCTTCTCTTCATTGGCTTCCTGTTAAATCCATAAAAGAATTTAAAATCCTCCTTCTCACATATAAATCCTTAAATGGCCAAGCTCCATCTGATATCAGAGATCTGATTGTTCCTTATGTTCCTAACAGAGCACTTCGCTCTCAATCTGCAGGTTTACTAGTGGTTCCTAGAATTTCTAAAAGTAGAATGGGAGGCAGATCTTTTAGTTCTCAGGCTCCTCTCCTGTGGAACCAACTACCAGTTTTAGTCCGTGAGGCAGACACCCTGTCTACTTTTAAGGCTAGACTTAAAACTTTCCTTTTGGATAAAGCTTCTAGTTAGAGTGGCTCAGGTTATCCTGAGCTATCTATAGTTATGCTGCTATAGGCTGAGACTGCTGGAGGACATAGGGACCCCTTTTTCTGCTTCTGTCTCACACCAAGTCTGGTTCTGCTGGAGGTTTCTTCCTGTTAAAAGGGAGTTTTTCCTCTCCACTGTCGCTACAGGCATGCTTGGTGTGGGGGATTCCCTTCGAGTCAATGAGTCGATGCAATCAACTGGTGAATTGGCGCTACAGAAATAAACTGAATTGAATTGAGGTGTGAACAGAAGGAGAGGAGCTAAGGAGAAAGGAAAGGGGCACTAGGGGGCAACAAAGAACTACCAGGCAAAACATCTGGATCTAAGGCCCCGTCCACTAGAAGTCAGACCCTGGCCTAAACGCACAAATTTTTCACCAAACCAGCCTCTCATCCATACGAAGCCGGCGTTTCGGGGGTCTGTAAACGATCTTTTTTTTATTAGGCCTTCAGAGTGGGACGATTTTGAAACGCCGTTTTCGCGTTTCCATCTTTAAGCTCTAACCGCATTTTTTTCCTTACACGTCATAGCGTCGCCTCTAAACACGCATGCGCGACACAGTATCACAACAACAATGGCGCTGTACTGTGTTGAATGGTTGCTGCTCATGGTACTCACCCTGCTGTCGGGCTTACAACAGAATCTTCTTCTTCTGGAATATCTCCAGGAAGAACAGAGCAATATCGACCACATAGTTCAGCACCTGAATTTGACTGAACCACGAAAATGGACCCGCAGGGCAACCATGTATAAATATTAGTGCGCATGCCCAACATTTCGTCGCCTATTTTTGCTTTGGCACCACAGCGCCACTTACAGGCCTGGCATACATTTTGCAGCATTTTCATGCATTCGTGTGGACGATCACATTTATTTTACGTCTCCGTCTTTACGACAAACATTCTGGAAAATATTAGCGTTTCGTGTTCGTTTTGACTTCGTGTGGACGGGGCCTAAATCTAGCTAGAAAATTACTTAAATGAAGCTAAACAGAAATAAAACTAATGACTAAAACTAAAACTAGACTAAGGAATAAATAAAACCAGAAATGCTTAAAAGAGATAAGTGAAAGAAATAACAAGGGAGAGTTAAACTGGGAATTCATAAATGACATAAATCATGACAAACACAGAATAACATAAAATAAAGCATAACTGAGAATCCAAAAAGAACATTTTCAACACAACCAAGAAGTTCAAAAAGGGCAGAATTATGTCACAAAGGATTTTGTTAAACTTGCTGCAAGAAAGTAACTAAAATGTTCTCCATCAAAGAGACTGAGATCTGCCACCAGAGGTCAGAAAACAAGGAAAGGGTTTGACAAAAGCGGGCGTTTTGAAAAAATCACTTCTTCTGTGAGAGAAGTAAAGGTCTTCGAAAATAACCACTAAAAATGTTTGTATTGGTGTAGAAAATAAAACGTTTTTATGTTGTGTTGAGCCCCATTTTTCCAATGGATGCTGCTTAGACTGTTGTCCCTTACATGGATCTGCTCCGAGTGAGGAGGCAGTGAAGGAAGCAGCAGCTCCAATGTGAGGCTGAGGAGAGTAAAGCGGAAAAGGGATGAAGAATGGAAAATAGAGGGAGGGGAGTATGCTCATGGGGCTCAGTGGGCTGATGAATGCGGCTGCGAAGAGACGTGGTGGGAGTTGCACAAACAGTCAAACAACCAGCCGTGGCTCCTGCATCAGGATAGAGATGGAGCTTTGCTTTCCTGAAGGGAAGCCGGGATCTAATCAGGAATAAAATAGGGGAGAACGTTCTCATAACACGTGGGATATAAAGAGAGGCGGGAGAGAAGGGTGAAAACAAAGGATAAAGCTGCAGAGGAGGTTGAGTGAAACAAGAAAAGCCACAAGACAGGTGGACAGACATCAAAGCAGGTAAGGAAAACTTCTACATGAGAAATAAATACGTTTACAGACTAAAATTTTAAGATACCTGATCATTTTAGGTGCAAAAACAATACTTTTTAGTAAAATAATCATAAGGAATTTAAAGTAGTTCCTTCTAATTGTGTTTAATTTGATGTTTCAGCACAATGCAATGATTGCTTCAGGAATATAAACATGCATGATGGATTTGCATAATTTTGTAAAACAGCAGGACTTTAAGCGCGCTGAAATTCTATTAGTGGCAGAGAGATTAATTTGTAGGAAGGGAGGGCACTACATACAGTGACAACAAAGACTCCTTAATGATTTACTGCCGTGATTATTTATTGGTGAGGCTGCGTGAATAAATCATGAGGCTATGACAGCATGAATCAACAGACCACATCACATTCCTTTATGCAGAAACCAAAGATCCAACAGGAAAAGACTAAAATCCTGGTTTGGTTCAGGATCTTTGTGGTGCAAATGAGTGTGCAACAGTAAAAATGAGGCGGCTAGTGACACATTAACGTTGGTGGGGAGGAGAGGATCGATACGAGATTCCTGTGCACTTGATGGTGAAGACAAAGGACCGTTTTATAGGCTCAAAGGAGTTAGAGTGGCTGCAGATTCCCCTTGGGGTGAGTAACCGGATTCCTGTCAGACGCTGCCATCCAATGGTGAAGCTGTGGCATCCTGTAGTGAGTGTGGAGGAGAACGCCTTGTCTTCTTATTCTTACTAAATTCCAATGTTCCCCCCTTTGAGATTTTTATTTGAGAGACCAAAGAAAAGCAGTGCATAACTGCAGGTAGAGTAATATCTCTGTTAGGTTAAAAAATGTAGGTTTGTAAAAGAGAAACTGAGTCCACACAGGAAAGAGATTCAATAGCTCCTGCAGAAGTGGAAAGAGCCCAATCCAACTTCCAACTCTTTCCCCGACCCCCCCTCCCGCAGTCGTCTTTTATTACCAGAACATAACACATGGTTACAAAACAGTATTGTTCTGACAGAACAATTGATCAGGTCATAAGACAGGATGCCCCACCAACTGAATCACAAGACAGAGTGGAGCATCTCCTTGCTCCAGTGTTTCATAAGCACACACACATTAATTTTATAATCATTATTGAATAAACCTAACAATCAAAGTAGAGCACTCCACAAATCTTGCTTTAACAGAAGTAAGGCTCTAAAAACTAACAAAGCACATTGCTGCATCCCATTAACAGACATGGTGGTGGTTTCATCATGCTACGGGGATACTCAGAATTAAAAAGATTTGTAGTTGAAAATGAAACTAAACATTGAGGTACACGGTGATGACTTATGCAGACTGAACCCCAGTGGGCCTCAGCAGATGGCCGCTCACACTGAGCCTGGTTCTGCTGGAGGTTTCTTCCTGTTCAAAGGGAGTTTTTCCTCTCCACTGTCGCTACAAGCATGCTTAGTGTGAGCACTGCAAAAAATAGAAACCTCAATAAGTTATTTTTTCTTAAAATAAGTGAATTTTTCCTTGAATTGAGGACGTAAGTAAGACACTTTGCCAATGGAACAAGACAATTTCCTTTTAAAATAAGAAAAAACTATTTTATCGTCTTATTTCAAGTAAATATTATCTAACTATCTTATTTTAAGAGTAAAAATACTCATTCCATTGGCAGATCATCTTATTTACCTGCTCAAATTAAGGGTAAATATACTTAATTTAAGAATTTTTTTACTTATTTCTGGATTGTTTTTGCAGTGAGGGATTGCTGAAGAGTCAATGAGTTGATGCAATCAGCTGGTTTTCCTTAGATAGAAAACTTTGAATCAATCTGATTGGATGATCTGGTGAACTGGAAAGTGCCTTGAGTTTACATGTGTTGTGACTTAAGAGATAGAAATAAACTGGATACAAATTGCATTGAAGCAAAATGGATAGCAAACCTGCGGAGGCCTAGTTGTTAAGGCATAGAGCTTGGAATCCTGAGGTTGTGAGTTCGAGCCCCACCCATACAGACTGCCACTCTGGTTCCCTGAGCAAAGACCCTTAACCCCACACTGCTCCCTGGGCGCCGTAAAAATGGCAGCCCACTGCTCCCCAAGGGGATGGTTTAAATGCAGAGGTAACATGAGATCAATAAAGTTCAATTATTATAAAACCTTTTTATTTTTCAATGTTTTCACTTCAATCACTTAAAATCCTCCCATAATACTGTCATATTTATGGTTTTACAAGAAAAAAAAGTGAAAAGATTTAGGGCCTGATCTTCAGGAGGTTTACATGTTAGAAGACAGGAGCCAACATGTTTGAATGAATACAGCAGATCTTCTTCCAAGGTGCAGAGTGATTTGTCTTCTTCAGCCGAGTGTGCAAACCTTTTTTTTGTGTTTCTTTAGTACCATGTAGATCATATTCTTACGACAAAACCACACAAATGGAAATAAAAAAACATTTACCACATGCAATCAGAAACTCAACTGCAGCTGCAGTTTTTGCATCTTATTTATTACTTCTGAAAGACAGGAGTAAACACACATGCAAACATATCTATACTTATTATTAATATAAAGGAGACATTAATATAAAGTAAAATAGGATGGAGAAAGATTCTGTGTGCAAGTAAAGAAATTGGAACCATCATAAATAACAATGGTACAATCAAATTAATAAAAAAAAAAAAAACTTGAAGCCGAGGGATTTTTTCCCCCTTTTTATTTTTGTTCTAAAAACTTTGAGACAGGCAACAAGGTGCACTATAACTATTTTGATGTATTACCATTGTTTTTTTAAATAAATATCATTATTATCCCCATTTCCTTTTGCACATACCAAGGGCGTAGGTTTGATTTCAACTTTGGTAGGGACACTATTCTTCAGTTTCATTGGTCCTTTGCAAAAATATGCATGCTCTTTTTTATGCTTAATGTGAGCTTCAGGGCTCATTTTGTTTAAAGAGAACAGCAGAATTTCTTGCTACATTAATACAAATCTTATAAGCACTACATGCACTAGATGCTGTTTATCAATATTTAAAGCATAACTTGCTCTGATGAATGTGGAATTAGGACTTTTTCCACTTTGAAAAGGTTTGCATTTAAATTTACCTGCGACTAAGACAGTGTCTGTTTAACCAAATATAGTCTATAATATGTGGATTTATCCTGTGTTTTCTTTTGAAGATATAGAATTGTGCAGAGGTAAACCCCACTCTTATTTTTTTTTAATCTAATGTGCTCTCTCTGGATCATGCAAAATAATACATTCAAGAGACGGCAAAGAAATGTATTGTATTTACATGTGCACTGGAACTAGAAGAGGAACTGACACTGAGCACTTAAAGTATTAATATTAGTAGTTGTACATCTGGGCTGTAGTTACTCTGTGTAGCTAATTTCATGTATTTTATCTATGACGGAAACAATCATATTAACAAATGATTTAAATAATCGTGAACTAATTTAGTAATTGATTAATCATAAACTGGAGTATAGAGCAGGAATTATACCAAGATTGTAAAAAAAAATTAGCATTTAAGAAGTAAAAAAAAAAAAGTTTTTGTCTGTCAGTATTCTCCATCCAGAACTCCTCCAAAGGAAACGTTTAAACCATCGGCGTCGCCAGACCCCATTTACTGGGGCACGTGCCCCAGTATAAATGAGCTGTGCCCCAGTATAAATCTCATGAATATTTGCAACAGTATTACATTTTTTTAATGCATCAATTTAGATATTTCCAACGGAAGGAGACGTATATTTCTACTCAAATGCGCAGCAAGTGTGTTGGTAACTCCAAATTGAGGATGTATTAGCGCCCCCACGTCACCGCATGTCACTGCATGAACTGCAGGTAAACTAACACGCTGCTCTCAACTGAGTTGGATGGGACACTGTGCGGCCGCGACGCATTTTTAGTTCTGGTAATGTTTCTTACCTGTCAATTTTATTATTTTCCCAGTGAAACCACATGATTTATAAGATACTAACTGAAAATTACTGCATTGGTTTGTAGATGGATATCAGGAAATTCCTCACACGAAGCAGAGACAGGGAAGCAGTAAAACAAGATGAGAGAGAGGGAGGTAAGGTCCCGTAATGAATTAGTGATTTAATGTAACCAGTTACATTAGGAACGTTATAAGTAATATGATAGATATTTACATAATTATAAATTTGCGTTTTTTTTTATGTTTGCTGTAGAGAATGAGAATGAGGGTGCTGGAGTAGGAAAGGGAGGAGGAGGCGAGACTGACAGGCAAGAGACAGGTGAAAGACAGGAGAGACAGGACCATGAAGGTGATGAGGATGCAACAACCAGCTTCCACAAACAAGAAGGGGACATTAGGGACTTAGGGGGAAAGCATGATGGTCCTAAACAAGTGAAGTTGTCCCACTATCCCCTGGGGCAAATTTGGAGTAAAAAAACGTTCATTTAATTCAAAATGGTTTGAGCTTTTCCTGGTTAAAAAAGAAAGCCTTGTTATCAAGGATATACAGTGTGTTTTCAACTTGCTTGATAACATCATATTCCCAACACTAAAGCAGGTCATCCAGATCTCCCTCACAATCCCAGTCTACAGATGGAGTTGTGAAAGGTCATTCAGTGTGTTGAGAAGGCTCCACACTTGGCCGAGGTGCACAATGGGACAAGATAGGCTCCATCATCTTGCTATTTTATCAGTTGAAAAGGAAGAACTTTCTAAGCTGAGTCACAAGTGATTGACCACTTTGCAAAAATGAAAAATAGGAGGTACACTTTAATGCTCAAAAAATAAAAGGAAAACTTAGTTCGGGTTGAGTTAAACTTTCCCCTGAACTAAAACTCGGAAACCTAGGAATTAATGATTACTTCAGAATGTGTATAAGGAAACTTTTTATTTTTAAAGTTGTTGATGTCTTATTTTTTATAGCTGCAATGTTGAAAATGTTCATGTTTGTTAAAACAAATATGCTCTTATACTCATTAATATCTCAACTGGTAATTTTGGTAGGAATGTATCAGGGTTGGGCAGTGTGCTTGTCTGTATTTATGTATGGAAGGAGGGGCATATGCACTAGGGGGCCAGTGCCCCAGTAAAGCTTTGTGCCTAGCAACTCCCCTGGTTTAAACGTTTCTGTTTCACCTGGTTTCATTTCATAAAAGATCTTCTTTAAGGAGCCTTTGGCTATCTGATTAAAAGATAAAATAAAAGAAATCCTAACGTTGTTAACTTACATTTCTCAAGTTCCACAAATCAAAAAACTCTCTCCTGCTTCTTTACAGAACTCCAATCAGAAGCTTTCACCTGTTTTAGCGTAGATAATACGTTTTTTTATTTGGACTAGTTTCGTAGCCCAATATTAATTTATTTTAGCGTCTTTTTTTTTCGCGCTCCAAGCACCCGCGCGCGCGCACATACAGACTAGAAAACACGCAATCAGAAAGAGAGAAGGCGGAACTTAAGGCAGAATAATCAGAGAGTTAAACCGTGCAGCACAGTTGATGCGCTGCTATGTGAAAGGGACAGGAAAGAGCAGGCAGCTGCAGCTACCAGGCAGAGAAGCTGCGAGAGGAAAAGAAGCAGCTGCTGTATAGTAAATTATAAACATGTTGCTCACATCCAATTATTGGTAGGGACAAATGGGTCCTTCCAAAATTTTGGTAGGGACATGTCCCTATGGTCCCTATGCAAACCTAAGCCCACGGCACATACTAAAAAAGGAATTGCATGCGCAATTTGGTGCCTCTGATTTGAAATCGTTGAAAGTCAGGCCCTTAGAGTATAAAAACTTTTCTAAGGTAAAGCAGAAGGAAAATTATGAGTTAATGCTTTTCATTTCTTTTCTTGCATTATCCGAGCAGCGCTGTTGACCTCCCCCTATTGATCTGCAATGGCTTTCCGGCTAAATGAGCTCCTCTTCATCTGTCTAACCATGACACAGGGGTGAGAGAAGTGATGTTGAAATTATCCCGAATGTGTTTTCCATTCCTTCTTCCCTGACCTTTTGTTTTTCTCTGATTTGTTCAGTGGCTGTATGATCCCTAACAACCACTGGGGTGAATGGAACGACTCTCAGCTCCTACCCACCATCCAAAAACTTATGAAGGGATATAACCGCTACCTAAGGCCTAATTTCAACGGTAATTATTAGACGGAGAACCTTTACCATCAGAGCCATTGATTTTTAGGTGCAGATTTAAATTTGACCAAAATCTTTGTTTACAACAGAAGGTCCAGTTGAAATCGGAATGAGTCTGGATATCGCCAGCATCGATGCCATCTCTGAAATAAACATGGTCTACCCCGCTCCCTTTCATTCTATATTACTGTTTGGATGTGTTGATTGGAAAAATATAATCTAAAGTCTTCTTAATGCTTTCAGGACTACACTGCAACCATTTTCCTCCGTCAGCGCTGGCGGGATTCTAGGCTGGTGTTTCCCGGGAATGAAAGCGTGAGTGTAGACGGACGGCTGGTGTCGTTGCTATGGATCCCTGACACCTTCATCCCAGACTCTAAGCGCTCCTTCCTCCATGATGTGACGGTGGAGAACCGTCTCATACGTATATTCAGTAACGGCACCGTCCTTTACGCCCTTCGGTATGTTGCTCTTCTTCATGGTTCTGTTATTTGCGGCCATGCTCTGGCCTCCGGTTTTACTCCACTAATGCGTCATCATTCAGTCATGTTACTTCAGGGTGATGCTTCGGCTTCCCCAGACTGTTTGATTTTTTTTTTACCATGTCCTTGCCTTCTATGAAAATTTGACTCGACGTTTATTCTGTCTCGTCACCCTGAGGCACAACTTTGGTTTGAGTCTATAAAGAGGAAAAGAAAGATCAGCTTTGTGTTACGGTTGGTTACATCCCAGCTTTGCTTTAATTAAAACAGACACTGATTCATGAGTGTGTCTAGATGGTGGCAAGTCAATTTGAGCATGAGTCAAGAAGCTCCTCTCATTTACAGAGAACCTTTGAAATGTACATTTATGACATCGCTATGGCATCTTATGGTCAATAAACTATCACTAGATTTCAATAAGTGTTAAAGTTAAACATGAATTGTGCATAAGAGAGCATTTTTTATGCTGAGACATCAAATATAAGTCTCTGTGCCTCTATTGCTCCAGTTTAACTGAGCTTGAGGGATGATATCGGTGTGAAGAACTTATAGAAACTTATCCAACGGCAATGATCATCATCCTCCACTTTGCGAGTCATCGACTGTAGACACTAGTCTAGTTTTGGGGAAAAAAAGAAGGGGGATGGTGTAATTTTTTTATTTTTTTGGAAGCATACATAGCCTAATTAATATAGTCTATTAAACTGAAACCATATGCATGGTATAGTTTATTACATGTCAGGTGTGCTGGTCATTGAACCTTAGAGTAGAACTGCAGTCAGTCTCTGGACTGGCATGGCTATCACTGCCCCTACATAGTTAGCATGGCTATCACTGCCCCTACATAGTTAGCATGGCTATCACTGCCCCTACATAGTTAGCATGGCTATCACTGCCCGTACATAGTTAGCATGGCTATCACTGCCCCTACATAGTTAGCATGGCTATCACTGCCCGTACATAGTTAGCATGGCTATCACTGCCCCTACATAGTTAGCATGGCTATCACTGCCCGTACATAGTTAGCATGGCTATCACTGCCCCTACATAGTTAGCATGGCTATCACTGCCCCTACATAGTTAGCATGGCTATCACTGCCCCTACATAGTTAGCATGGCTATCACTGCCCTACATAGTTAGCATGGCTATCACTGCCCCTACATAGTTAGCATGGCTATCACTGCCCGTACATAGTTAGCATGGCTATCACTGCGCCTACATAGATAGCATGGCTATCACTGTCCCTACATAGTTAGCATGGCTATCACTGCCCCTACATAGTTAGCATGGCTATCACTGCCCGGACATAGTTAGCATGGCTATCACTGCCCCTACAGAGTTAGCATGGCTATCACTGCCCCTACATAGTTAGCATGGCTATCACTGCCCGTACATAGTTAGCATGGCTATCACTGCGCCTACATAGTTAGGGACTAATTTCCCACTGGGATCAGCTTCATGTAGCCTCGTGAGACCATCCTGATCTTGCGAGCTTTCAAGGTTTCACTCGCAGATCAGTCTGGAGACTCTCCGTTGAAGAAAATTTGGAGCCGTTCACCAAACCAACGTCCAATCAGCGTTGGCTTTGAGGCGGGTTGAGGCATGACGCAACGAGAAGCGCAACAGTTCAGTCTAAAGAACATGGCGGCTTCAGCTGATGAAACTAGCGTTAGCTTGGCTATCGAGCAAGTTTTATCGGAATTACAGAGTATTTCTTCACTGAAAGAAGAGCAAAACACTGCTCTGGAGGCTTTTCTCAGAGGAAAAGATGTTTTTGCTCTCCCGACTGGCTTGTGGTTGTATTTTTGTCGTCGCTCTGTTAGTACGTCATATGCTTCGTTGATCTGATTGGTTTATTTGGCCCGTCTATCACCAACATAGGCCAATCAGCTAACCAGTATTTTCGCCCCTTCCCAAAATTACTTCAACGGAAGGTTTCCAGATGGATATGCGGAGCAAATCCATCTGGCAGAGTCAGGTTAAGCTTCATAGTCATGGTAGGACACTTGTGAGGGACCAAACTTGAATAAGGACAAAAGGTGTTCAAAATTTGAAAAAGTACTTTCATTTAATTGTGTCAAAAAATTGTTAACAAAGGCTCAAAAGCAATACAAAATATCTTAAATAATAAATAACATGGATCTGGGCCCAACTTAACTGAGGTCAACTGAGGATCCACTAAACAAAGAACTAAAGGCTGCTTAAAAAGGGATGGAGTAACCCAAGTCTACCACATGAGGGAGGCACTACGTAACAAAAGAACCAATAAATACAAAATTAACCATTCTATGAAACAAATCAAGCAAAACTAACTTTTACTTAGCAGAAACAATAAGTGAGTATTTAAGTGACAAACTAATTGAAAACAACTTGAAACAAGTCTCCCCCGTCAGTCTTTCAAAAATGGTACGCTCCAGGTTTCCTCCTCCAGCTGGTTTGCATCAGCAGCACCTCAAACAAAAGAACAAGTGTAAATAAACCATTCAAACAGACATTAAATAAAGTGTGCACCCATTAGAAAATACCTGTCTAAAAGAAATAACCAACTTAAAAATAAACTGTAATATAATATAAAGCAAGAAAAAAAATACTAACGCGATGTGGTGGTGGGAGGATCATCCACCACAACACTTCTTTCATTTTATTTATTTTGCTCAAGCTAATCGTTAGCACACATCCCGCTAAATGTTGAAAGGACAATATTATTGGCTTTAGTGTTAATGTATAGTAGATTATTTTAAAGATTTTTTTAAGAAGGGGGATGCCACCCCCCCTCAACTCGTGTACTGCCTGTAGACGTATTTCCCTCTCACGGTGCAGCACAGCTGCTCTCATTCACAAATTACTCTGAGCAACATAAACTCCTCCCATTTCATCTTAGAATGGAATGTTGTTACCTAATTTAACTTTGAATTAGGATTAAACACTACAACACTGGAAAAAAATGGAAATCTAGATGTCATTTTTTCTTAAAATAAGTGCATTTGTTCTTGAATTGAGGAGGAAAAAGAGACATTTTGCCAATGGAACAAGACAATTTACATTTAAAATAAGAAAATACAATTGCATGGTCTTATTTCTAGTGCATTTTATCTAATTATCTTATTTTAAGAGTAAAAATACTCATTCCGTTGGCAAATTATCTCGTTTACCTACTCAAATTAAGATTAAATACACTTAATTTAAGAAATCTTTACTTATATCTAGATCGTTTTTCCAGTGAAGATGATGGGATTAAAGAGAAGAAAACAGATAATTAATTATGCAAATAATGGTAAAACCATAAAAATGATATGTAGCAGGAAAGACAGCTAATATAAGATCTTTAAACTGGTATAATATCTCTGAATTTCAACAAGTTCTGTCAAGGTGAAGTGGAGGTTTTTGAGGAGCCAAATGCAGAGGTGAGTTCTTATAGTATTTCAGTAGTTTAATGGAGTTTTCAACAGGCAACAGAGGCAGGAATTTAAAAAAAAATCCAACACAAACATGCAAAATAAACCAGAACCATGGAGATATGACAGAAAACATGCATGAGGAGCTGAGTAAAGAAAAGGAACTGCCCAGGGAGAGTATTTATGGGAGACTGAACAAAGACAGGACTAATGAGCTGATTGGGAGCAGGTGTGAACAGAGGCTTCTAGAAGGAGTTAGGAGAAAGGAGACCAACACAAGGGGGCAAGCAAAGAAAAACCTAAGAACTCAAATATTTATTTATTTTTATTTTTTTTTAAAGTTTATTTGATAGGGACAGACACACATTTACATAGACAAACTGAATGAATCAGCAGTCCCATGTTTGCAGCATCGTGCAATAGCAACAGCTAATTCGCAGCACTTGTCCCTAGATGGGCTTTTAAAAATAACTCTAAAAATTGAAGTGAAATCATTTGAACTAACACAACATAATATATATACAAACAGAGAAGTGTAAAAAAATAAAATAAAATAAAAACTGAGTACAGGTCTGTTTTTGACATAACCAGAGTTTTGTTTGATTTTTGAACATACTAAAACTGGTTGCAGACTTTAAGTGAACAGGAAGTGAGTTCCAAGCTGCAGATCCTCTCACAGACAATCCACTTTGAGCAAAAGTGGTTCTTCCAAAGGGGACCTTACAATTTCCATCCAAAGCTGCTCTGGTAGATCTGCTATTGCCCTGCAGTCTCTGTATGCAATCGCTTAATGGTATTGGTGCTAGTCCATTTAAACACTTAAAAATCATTTTTAAAACGTTATAATTTAGGAAATTTGTAAAATCCAAAATGCCAAATTTAGCCAAAATGTGACAATGATGGAATCCAATTGGCTTTTGATATAAAACCTTTAAGGCCTGATTATAAAGACTTGCTAGTGGTTTGAGAATAGTTTGATTAGTCTGAGACCAGACAGTAGGTAAAATGTGAGAGGATCAGTGAGTTCAGAAACATCTCTGCACAGTGAAGTGTCAAACAATGTCTAATAATTTTAAAACAGTTTATATTTGATCGAACAGTTTTGCAGATTTTATCGACATGGCTCTTAAAAATTAACTGAGCATCCAGAATTAATACTAAATATTTTTCTTGTGATACTTGTTCAATAGGGACCCCATTGATCTGAATGTTCAAAGACTGTAATGATGTTTTCTTAATTGAGAAGCAAATGCACTTTGTTTTATTTGTATTGAGAGTTAAGCAAGAGTCCTTTAGTCATGTCGATAATCTCTGCAGACTGCTCTGAAGTTTTTCACTGACAACAGTACCGCTTTTGTCCGATGTATAAACAATGGTGTCATCAGCATACATTTGCAGATTGACTTCAGGACAAATGTCAGGAAGACTATTGACATACAAACTGAAAAGGACCGGACCTAAAGTGGTTCCTTGCGGAATCCCTGTTGCAATTTTGCAGAAGACAGATTTACTGTTATTAATGACAACACATTGTTCACGATCTTCCAAATATGATTTAAACCAAGACAATGACCGTTCTGAGAAATTAAATGATGAAAGCCTGTGTTGTTTTTTATGTCGCAACACAGGTCATTATCCAGAAAATAACAATAAAGCTATAAAACAAAGAAAAACATGGAACAACGTGAAAACTTAACATAACCAAGACCATGACAGATATATTATGTTAGTATTTGACTAAACAAGACATTTTTTAACCTCAATAATGAATCAGATGGTAAATTCTTGCTAATATAAAAATGTCCGTAGCTCTATATGGGTTATTTATTCTCCAGGTGCACAATTCAATGTTTATAGTATTTTATTGTTTATCTTTTAACTCTTCACTATTATGTAATTCTTATACGTAAAGTCCCCATTTGTGTGACAATTTTTTCTATAATTTTTTGCTGCAGTAAACGCCAGAATTTCCTCATTATGGGACAATAAAGGCCTTTTTTCTATTCTATTCTAACACACAAAATATGAGCAATCTCTGTTTTTCAAATAGTTTTTCTGCTTTCAATAATCGTTTTCTGTTTCGTGCTTCATTAATGAAGGGATATTTATATTTGGAAGGAAGGTTAAAAAAAAACATTTCTGACACTCGTGCTTTGAAAACTCTACAGCATCACAGCAACGATTGCCTGCAACATGGATCTGACCAAATACCCCATGGACAAACAGGTGTGCACCCTGCAGCTGGAGAGCTGTGAGTACTTTCCCTCCACCAACCCTCTATCAACTATGTGACTGACCACAGATCAGCCTTCCATTAGCTCTGTCATTTTCCTCTTCATCATCATCCTCATCATTGTTGTTGTGAGTATTAATTTGTGTAGGCACTGCATTGCTGTGCAGATTTGATGCTATAACTGGTAGTTAGAGTTTGTGTGCTGCATGTTCAGGGGGCTATAACATACAGGACGTGGTGTTCTACTGGACAAGAGGGAATGATTCAGTGAAGGGTTTGGACACCCTGCGGCTGGCTCAGTACAGCGTGGAGAGCTACTACACATCAGTGTCGGAGGCTGTGTACGAAACAGGTACACAGCGGAGTCGTGGCGAAGCAAAGATGTTTGCAATACATCATTGTTATGTGCTTAGAGAACTGCATTGTTTTTTATGTCGCAACACAGGTCATTACCCCAAGCTGGTGCTGCATTTCTCCCTGCGCAGGAATGTCTTGTTCTTTATCTTGGAGACGTATGTCCCCTCCATCCTGCTGGTGGTTCTCTTCTGGGTGTCCTTCTGGATCAGCCAGTCATCAGTCCCAGCTCGAACATGCATCGGTCAGTAGTTTCAGCTTATTAAGATTCTGTTACACCAGGCAATCCTCTGAAGACCCCAGCAAGTTTAATTATGCTGAAATTAAAATGGGGGAATTAAAGGAACCATGCAAAACAGAAAAAAATGTTGCTAGTGCAATAGGAAAAAGGTTTGGATTTCTTTGTTTGTTCTTTGTATTTTGATAAGCTTGGGCTTATAATTACCTACCGAATTAAATTCCATTTTAGGCTGGTTAGTTGTAATTATATCCTTACATGTTTGATGCTTTGAAACACTGGGATTTTTTTCTCCAGTCCTTGTGAGTCTGTTCCAGCTTCATTACAGTCGGTTGGTTCTGCTGGACAGAACAAAGACTGAAGTCTTCAAAACAGCTCAAATGAAACAAGCATGGAATGCAATGCTATATTTATACTGTATTTAACCTAAAAACATCTTGTTTTGTTTGCCAAACACCTACCTGTGGCTTTGTGTGTTGATAACTGAGGGCCAGTCAGCCTGGATATTGGGTTTGTGCTGAAGGCCACTGCCTGATGATAAAACCAAATGTTTACCAAATATCTTGGTGGATTTAAAGATGGCTGACGGTGTCATTCGATAAGGTGGAACAAATTTAACAACTGTTTCACTATAGATCTATTTGTATATGGTCTAAGAAATTACCTGTGCTATTTAATTCAATTCAGTTCAATTTATTTCTATAGCGCCAATTCACAACAAATATCATCTCAAGGCACTTCTCTAAATTTTTTATCCAAGGAAAACCAGCTGATTGCATCGACTCATTGACTCGAAGGCAATCCCTCACACTAAGCATGCTTGTGGCGACAGTGGAGAGGAAAAACTCCCTTTTAACAGGAAGAAACCTCCAGCAGAACCAGGCTCAGTGTGAGCGGCCATCTGATGAGGCCGACTGGGGTTCAAGGAGACAGAAGCAGAGATACAAAAGACAGCTGTAAAGGCGGCCCCGTCCAGGAAACACACAGACAGGGAGACGAGCTCCGAGCCAGCTCCCATGTCAGAGGATGAAAAGAGCACATCCAGTTAGTCACAGACAGAGAAACAGGACTACACTGGAAAACAGGCCGATCTCCAACATCTAGAAACAAAGGTGTTGATGGCAGCAGCACAGCTGATATTTCTCTCCAGGATGGAGTCACAGCCAAACAGGAACAGACCAGATGAAGCTACTATGAGAAAAAGCAGAGAGAGCAGAACGTTAGAGATTGACCTAACAGATTCTGCAGAGTGGGAGAATAGAGATAGAATGATGAAAAAGGGGTCCCTATGTCCTCCAGCAGTCTAAGCCTATAGCAGGAGAACTATAGAGATAGCTCAGGATAACCTGAGCCACTCTAACTAGAAGCTTTATCAAAAGGAAAGTTTTAAGCCTAGCCTTAAAAGTAGACAGGGTGTCTGCCTCACGGACTAAAACTGGTAGTTGGTTCCACAGGAGAGGAGCCTGAGAACTAAAAGATCTGCCTCCCATTCTACTTTTAGAAATTCTAGGAACCACTAGTAGACCTGTAAAAGGCGGCCCCGTCCAGGAAACACACAGCCAGGGAGACGAGCTCCGAGCCAGCTCCCATGTCAGAGGATGAAGAGAGCACATCTAGTTAGTAACAGTCAGAGAAACAGGACTACACTGGAAAACAGGCCGATCTCCAACTTCTTAAAACAAAGGTGTTGATGGCAGCAGCACAGCTGATATTTCTCTCCAAGATGGAGTCACAGCCAAAGAGTAACAGGAATCTATCCATCAACTGGGACATGGAAACCACAAAATAGGCAAAAGTCAGAGGCAAGCTGATTTTTTTTTATTTTGTTTAAGAAGGAAGCCATCTTTGTTAAAACAGAAAAGCCATGACTGAACAGAGAAGGATGATTGTAGTTTCAGCTTGCAATCATCTACTGATTGGTCCTAGAATTCATTCTGAAGAGGTTTTCTAAGGACTCATCATAATTCAAATGGACAAACACAAAACAAATACGCAAAAAAGACTCCCAACAACCCAGGAGACGACGGGCGGGTCTTTGTCTTTGATCTGACTTGAAATGTGATTAGAAGAATCGACTTCCATGTTACATCTCAATGCAATAGTGCAAGTTAGTTGGTAAAGACAACCTGATTGGTGTTGAATGTGATCAGAAAACAAAGTCTGGTTGCCTCCTATTGTGACTATGAGAAATTTTATTTTCTTCAAGAAGCAAATCAGTTAATTTGACATTTTTCCCAACATTCTCCAAGAAGTTTTCTTCACTATAGTTTCTATAGTGAAGAGAAAATGAAATAGTATTAGAGTTTTACATCCATTGCTGAATGTAATAGCGGAGCAAAAGCTCCAGTCTGAGCCGCATCAAGGGCATCATAACTGGCTACGTGTTCCGGCAAACAACAGAAAGCCAGGCAGCCTCTAACTAGGCAGCAGAGGTTCTATGTAAGAAAAGCACAGCTGATTGGATCTCGTTATCTGAACCAGAGGCACCAAACAGAAGACCGCTCATTAAAGTAACCGTGCAAAGTTGACTGGATGAAGAAACAGGAGAAATGGATCAGTTTGTCAGTGCAGTATTGCTTTTAATGGGCTGTGTGCACATATGGAGGTATTTTTTATATCAGATGTGACTGTGGACTTCTTTATCACCTCTTACATGTGATGTTCAAGGCAAAGATGCATTGGTTCATGAATGTATGGGCTTCTAAAGATTAGGTTGAAATGTAACATATTCTATTTTCCTAGCTTTTCTTAAGGCTCATGTTCTGTTTGCTTCATGGTGTTGCAGACTTTTAGGTCTGTCCTAACTAGTGCTGCACCGATGCCATTTTTTGGCCCCAACACCGATACCCGGCTGTGCAGTATCGGCCAATACCGAGACAATCTGTTTGAAATTGATGTGTGTGTGTGTATATGAAAAACTGTAGACTACTTGGATGTAAAATAATTGCCATCATGGCTTTGTCAAGCTGCTGCCTACCTTTGTGAAGCAGGAAAAAGACTACCGCATTTTCGCGACTATAAGGCGCATATAAAAGTCTTTTTTGTCCCTCAAAATGTGCGGCGCGCCCTATGTGTGTTGTTACTGCGGACATTGTTGAGACCGCCATGAGAACGTTAAAGGGGGAAGTGCGGGCGTGGATTGTGTATAAAAGAACAGGTATGTGCTTTATGCAGAACATTGTTGTCTTAAAGGAATAGTACACCCAAAACATGATTAGCCTTCATTTTCTACTCACCCCCATGCTGAACAACACTCTGGAGTACTTTTTTGATATCTCAAATGCATCTGGAGATCTGGGAGGCTTCTTGCTGTCTGCTGACATTCAAATAATGAAGGTCTATGGCGCCCGAGGCAGAAAGGTCCATAAAAGTCCACAAAAACGTGTCAATATTCCTCCATACTGCCCGTCCAATGTATTCCAAGTGTCCTGAGTGGGTAGCGTCCATAATTTACTCGAAACGAAGTCATTTAGAATGTTTTTAGAGCATAAACAGTAGTGTATAGGATTTCCTGAAAGCGCGTTCACGAGTCTACGGAAACCGCGGCAGACCAAACCAGATGAAAGTGCGCATTCAGCTCGGCAAAGAACTCATGCTCTTCCTCAACACTGAAGTCCTCAGACATTTTTCTTTCGTTGTTTCTTTCTTTGCACAGGTAAACAGCACATTTCTTCTTCAACGCTTGCATTATCGGCAGAGCAGACGCTGAATGCGCACTTTCATCTGGTTTGGTCTGCCGCAGTTTCCGTAGGCTCGTGAACTCGCTTTTAGGAAATCCTATAAACTACTGTTTATGCTCTAAAAACATTCTAAATGACTTCGTTTCGAGTAAATAATGGACGCTACCCACTCAGGACACTTGGAATACATTGGACGAGCAGTATGGAGGAATATTGACACGTTTTTGTGGACTTTTATGGACCTTTCTGCCTCGGGCGCCATAGACCTCCATTATTTGAATGTCAGCAGACAGCAAGAAGCCTCCCAGATCTCCAGATGCATTTGAGATATCAAAAAAGTACTCCAGAGTGTTGTTCAGCATGGGGGTGAGTAGAAAATGAAGGCTAATCATGTTTTGGGTGTGCTATTCCTTTAACAACCCTGAAAATGGCAAAGAGACACGCCTATGAAGCACAGTTCAAACTGAAGTATATCAGCTACGCAGAGGAACATGAAAATCGAGCAGCAGCGAGAGAATTCAAGATTCATGAATTGATGGTTAGCAAGTGGAGGAAGATGGAAAACGAACTCCGACAGGTGAAGAAGACGCAGATTATAGATGCTTGGGCTAACTGTTGTTCGAGCTTTCGCAAAAGCCAGCATCATTTCCGAGGAGCCGCCCGGCACGGAAAGTGACTCTGACAGCGAAGAAGGGGAAATTGGCATGTCTGATTTAGCGCAGCTGTTTAATTCACACTGCAAAAACCATCTAGAAATAAGTACAACATTTCTTAAAATAAGTGTATTTACCCTTAATTTTAGTAGGTAAATAAGACGATTTGCCAATGGAATCAGTATTTCTACTCCTAAAATAAGACAATTAGATAATATTCACTTGAAATAAAACAAAGCAATTTTTTTTCTTATTTTAAATGTAAATTGTCTTGTTCCATTGGCAAAGTGTCTTACTTATCACCTCAATTCAAGACAAAATTCACTCAATTTAAGCAAAAATAACTCATACAGATTTCCATTTTTTGCAGTGCAGAAACAGAGGATGATGACTTCGATGGGTTTGATTAAAACTTTGTAATAAACATGAATAAAGGACAATCATACTCAGTTTTGCTCCCGCTCTATTTTTAAATATACAGTAGATGGAATTTAAACGTAGTAGAGGACATGTACCGGTATATAAAACCTGCGCCCTATAGTCCAGTGCGCCTTATGTGTGTGTTAAATACAGTAATGGCACACATAACTGAGACTGCGCCTTTTAGTACGGTGCGCCTTATGGTCGTGAAAATACGGTAATGCAAAGTGAATCCAGTAGAACTTTTTATTGCCTCCCAGGAATGGGTGACAATAGTTGAATAAACTTTTTGCTCTCAAAATGGTATCTATGCCCTATTTGTTGGTACTCACTGATACCAATACCACCATTTTAGTGCTTGATCGAGGCCCCGCCCCATACTGCAATCGGTGCAACACTAGTCATAACCATATACATAAAAAAATAAATATATTATATATTGAGTGAAATGTGAAATGTATGGCTTTTATCGTATGTTTACCATAATGTTCCATTAATCCTATCCAAACAAAAATATGAGCTCTTTAATTTATTCTGCTTTTGATTACAGGTTTGGTGAAAAAATAAAAAGTGGGTCAGATTCTCTTTCCAGGAAATACACATGATAAATATCTGAGCTTAAACACAAAACATTCCCCTTAAATAAACTACTGCAGGCTTTGCGGAGCTTATTTCTACTTTTTAATGATTAGTTTAGAAACATGTCATCTCAGGTCAACAGATTACAACCTGAAATACAGGGATGTCATGGGAGTCAAACAGCACTATAATGCTCAGAAATACTGGAACTGCCTGGTTGTAGATTTAAACAGTTTTTGTTTAAATACGTGTATCAATAGACGTAAAATAAAATATTACCTTTTTTTCTTTTTTTTACAGCTGTTACTAAAAGAAAACATTTTTATATTAATTATCCGCTGGGATTTTGTACTGAATAGAAGGACCACTGCTCTACTGAAAGGAGTATTCACAGAATATTTGAAGTGCAGTGCTGGCAGGAAGGTCATCAGCATTCATTTTCTCACCGGCTGTAGATAACCGTCTTGGCATCTTCACTGAGCATAAATCATCAATTGGACCTTGTGGCTAAAGCTGATTGCTGGTCAGGAGGAGATGTTAGTAAAACTGCTGCCTTTTTAAACCCCACTGGTGCAAAGAAACGCTATATAGGAGCATATGGAAGGATTTTTGTAACATTATTGTTGCAAGCAAATAATACTTTTTATAAATTGTAAATTAAATTTTGATTAGATGTAAAACCCAGAAATTATACTTTGAAAAACATCTTAACCAAAATGAAGGTTTGGGAGTAAATTAGCTGTGTGAAAAGAAATATATATATACATTTATATTTCTATATTACATATTTTATATTGTAAAATTTTATTTTCAAAATCAATTTTTTGTTCCGGTCTTATACGTTTCCTTCCATCCAAATACCGTTTTACGGATCAGATTCTGTTTAGTTGTTAGGCGGTGTTTCTATGGAGTGAAGAATGAAGATACATTTTGATAGATCTTCATTCACGTTAGCAATGTTTTTATAACTGAAATGCAACCGTTTGTATTAAGCTTATAGTGAAGACAATGTAAATGGTAAAACTAAGTTTAAAAGCAATTAATTTATAAAGCAAAATCTGAAAGAGAGCAACTTAAAAGAGTCAATTTTTTTTTAAATATAATAGTGTAAAAATAAAGTTTAAGTTGTTGCACTGGTTCATTTTCACTACTGAAAACTCTATGTTTACTAAACCTGAAATCAGTCAAATTGAGTATTTTTAGATATATAAAACATAAATCCTACAAGTAAAATTTAGTTTTTATTAACTTTCTTAAATTCAATTTCTGCTACAAAAATTTAATTTAGAACCTCTTTTGTTACTGTTCCCACTAGAAATGTGATTTTGATCAGGAAGAATCTTATTTGGCTTTTAGTAAATGTAAAAACGGCTTGCCATATCCTGCAATAAGTCGATCAGCAATCTTCTCCTTTGCAGCTGTTGCACCGCTTCTGTCATTTGTACATATTTTTTTTTCCATTTCTGCATAAAAATCTATAGTTCCAGTGAGGTGAAATTTTCACTTCCTGTTGCCATGGTGACTCGTCAAATCTGATGATGACTTTTCATACTTGTTACGCAGGTGATCAACTCTGAGTGGACCTACTTAGAGTTGACTGAACTAATTGATAGCAGCTGTTGTGAAAATTAAAAACTCAGAGTTTCTGACCTTAGGATGGATCAATTTAAAGTTGTATCTGAATTTGTTTAACCTGCTTATTGAAACGAACCCCTGGAATCTAAAAATAGCCCAGAAGCAAAAGATTTCTGCACACTTAATCTGTGCAAGATTCCATTGAATGTAAATAAGGTTTAAAAAAATAATTTAAAAAGAAACGAATCTCAGAAAACACTACAAGTTATTCTTAAAACACTTTTTTATTAATAAGTTTTTAAAAGTTTCATTTGTAGGTTTGCAAAACACATTCTGTGATGCAACAATAGTGGAGCAATTTCACTCCATACCGGAGAGAGCACTTAACATAAGATTGTTTATTATAAAGTTTCACCAGTGATCATTCTGTGTTAAAAAATAAAATAAGATCAGGGCGATAAAAAAAAAAAAGAGAAGAAACTGTTATGGAAAAAATCTATCAAACAGTTTTAATTAAGCCCGAGTAACATTTCTGCTTTTTAAACGTCTTTATTTCAGTCGTTATTCTGAAAGCAAAGGCTTTACATGTTCTGTTTGCAGACCACGTTTCTCACAGGATGGTCCATGTTGTTGCACCGCCTCCTGCCTGTTTCCCTGTAAATGAGCAATGACTCCTGTGTTTATAAGCATCCAATACAAACATGTCACATTTTACAGCTTTATAAAATAGTGCTGCCATAAATTGCTACGACGTTTTAGAGGTAAATGTTTTAGGATGCCTAAAATCTGCTGCAGCAATAAATTTATCCTAATTTACTACTGGAACTAGGACACCGACTATTAACATTTTTCAAAAATCCTAAACTATCATTGAAATAAATAATGTGTTTTTAATTTAAAGAATTCCCTAAACAAATTTAGAAAAGTTTAACATTGACACACTGGAAAAAATCTAAATCTACAGTAGATAAGTCATTTTTTCTTAATATAAGTGCATTTGTTCTTAAATTAAGAAGGTATAACAGACATTTTGCCAATGGAACAAGACCATTTATATTTAAATAAGGAAACACAATTGCATTTTTATTATTTCAAGTGCATTTTATCTAAATATCTTACTTTAAGAGCAAAAATACTCATTCCATTGGCAAATCATCTCATTAACCTAGTCAAATTAAGGGTAAATGCACCTAATTTGAGACAGTTTTACTTATTTCTAGATCGTTTTTCCAGTGCAGAGCAAACACAACAAAAAATGCCTTCTAAAAAATAAGAAAAAATATTGTGTTTTAAGTGAATAATTGCTTATTTTTAGCAAAATAATCTGCCAGTGCAGCAAGCAAATGAGACTTGGTAAGATTTCTTAAAACAAGAACATAATGTCCAAGTATTAAGCATCCAAAAAAACTTCAATCAAGTATAAAAATCTATTTTTTCTTTTACTCGTTAAGATTTTTTCTCTTATTTTAAGCAATTTATTCTCATTTATTAGTCATTATTGCTTAGAATTAAATGTCCTCTAACCAATTATTGCTCAAAATAAGCATACAGCAGGCTTAAAAACAAGGCAAATAATCTTAACAATATTCAGTCTTACTAAGAAAATACATTGAAAAACAAGTGTAATAAGACCAAAATGCTGAATTCAAGTTTATTAAACTTGTATAGATTTTCCTTTTTTGCAGTGAACAAAGCAGGACACTGCAAAAACCATGTAGAAATAAGTACAGAATTTCTTAAATTTAGTGTATTTAACCTTAATTTTAGTAGGTAAATAAGACGATTTGCCAATGGAATCAGTATTTCTACTCCTAAAATAAGACAATCAGACAATATTCACTTGAAATAAGACAAAGCAATTGTTTTTTTCTTATTTTAAATGTAAATTGTCTTGTTCCATTGGCAAGGTGTCTCACTTATCTGCTCAATTCAAGCTAAAATTCACTCAATTTAAGCAAAAATAACTCATGCAGATTTCCATTTTTTGCAGTGGAATCGTCATTTTTTCTTCTTAAACTCAACCTTCTGTGAATATATTGTATTTTTTTCCTACTCCAAATCACAATTGGATTGTTTCTGCAGGAGTGACAACCGTCCTGACCATGACCACTCTCATGATGGGGGCCCGTACGTCTCTGCCCAACGCTAACTGCTTCATAAAGGCCATAGACGTCTACCTGGGCATCTGTTTCACCTTCATTTTCGGTGCACTGTTGGAATACGCCTGTGCTCATTTTTACACAATGCAGAATCAAACCATAGAGGATCTTCACAGGGTATGGAACAAGCACCAAGGTTTAACATTCTGCTAAATACACTGAAAAGTTTTTCATTCATTGATGCATCTGTGTGTCTATCAGGAACTTTTGAGGGAGTTTGTAGAGTCTAATGGAAACGGCATGGTCCCCATTGTCAGCTCCAGCCAACCAAACCAGTCTGCGGACGTGGGCCCCAGCGCGGAGGAGCCGACGGAGGAGCCAGCGAACAGTGACATTAAGAACCATGCTGCTTCAACAGAAAAAACGCAGAGTCAGGGCTGTGGCCTGTCATCTGTGAAGGATGCTTCACGCAGAGCAGCTGCTGTCTTCATAGTGGAAAATCCACATAATATTGATCGCCATGCCCGTACCGTCTTCCCTACAGCTTTCCTCTTCGTTAACATCCTCTACTGGCTGTACTATCTCTTTCTCTGAGTACATCTCATATCACCACCCTCACTGGATACAAAACATCTAGAAATCAGAAATAAAAATTCTTAAATTAAGTGTATTTACCCCTAATTTGAGCAGGTAAATGAGGCAATGAAATTGTGTTTTATTATTTTGGCATTGGCAAAATGTCTCTTATCTACGGAAGAGGATTAGGGCCACTGAAAAAAAAAAGTTAACTGATTTTTAAATTTAATTTCAGTTTAATATGGGAAAAATAATCAGAATTCTGATTTTTTTTCTCAGAATTCTGACTTTTTTCTCAGAATTCTGACTTTTTTCTCAGAATTTTGACTTTTTTCTCAGAATTCTGACTTTTTTCTCAGAATTCTGACTTTTTTCTCAGAATTCTGACTTTTTTCTCAGAATTCTGACTTTTTTCTCAGAATTTTGACTTTTTTCTCAGAATTCTGACTTTTTTCTCAGAATTCTGACAGCTAACAAACATGTTAGCATAGTCATAGCCATGTCTGTATTTTTATTTTGTGCAATCACAGCTTAAAGTTTTTCTAAAATGTCTCTACCAGCTTTGCACATTTAGAAAGTAAATTATTATTATTATTATTATTTATTTTAGTCTCTCAGGTTACATGAAAATTCTCGATTAACATACAGTACATGTTCAGTTCTTGAATGAGACTCAGAATTAGATTAACGAAAATTGAACCATTTCATTATTTCATTATAGCTGGTATGAGTAAGAGTCCTGCTGAAAAGTCACCACCATCATAATATTAAAGCAAAAGTCCGGTCAGAAAAAATAATCAATGGATAATTGTTTAATTTAACGAATTTATAATTAATCAGTAAAAAAAAAATACATATATTTTCCGCTGTGATCACTGAGTCTGGGAGCGGCCATTTTTGCCCAAATATAGTAGCCCCTCCCTCCTGCCATCTTCCAGCAGTGACGTCACGGTGCGGTAAGCCTAGCGCCATTCTCCCCGCTTTCCAAGCTAAATCAATGGGAACTACTAGACACATCTGCAATCAACAACAATTATTGAAGATTTCCAGAGGACTTCACCATTGAAATTCACCAGAGCTATAGTGAAACTGACAATGCCCACGTGCATGGCAGCTGGATGCTGGAATACATCGGGTAAAAGTGAAAAAAAAGGAGTTATTCCACCTTTCTGATTCCTGATCCTCCACGGACGGGTTGGTCGTTGGATCGCCAACTCGAAGAGGGAGGATTTGCCATCGAACTTCTGGCCAGAGAAAAAACCCGTAATATGTAGCCAACATTTGGAAGAAGAATGTTTTCAAGATGACTTGGATAATAGCGCGTTGTGACAAACACCAGATACAGCACTGGGACTTGATCAACAGCCGATACCGCACCGTGACGTCACTAACCAGTAGGTGGCAGTAGTGTTCTTTGACAAACATGGATGCCTCCAGTAAAGCACATTCACATGAAAATTACTCTGAATGAAAAACACTTAATATTTATTGAACTGTATGGAATAATTTCAATGACTTTTAGAAGTTTGTATTTTGAATATGATGGACTTTTCCTTTAAGACATTTATCGGCTGTAATAAAACAGAAGGCCACACATGCAGGCTAGTTTAGGCTGCTACCTTGAACTGCTGCTATTTCATATGTGAACTTTCTTAGACTCTGCAGGGTATAGAAATAACACAGCTCTGATTTGGCAGCTCTATTTTCCTGAAAAACATCAGCTGCACTTTGAATTCAGTGTGTTGCTTCTAGCCTGCTGCTTCAGCCCCCTAAACCACCCACCTCCCATGGTCAAGGTCTATACTCACCGTCTGACATGAGCAAGACAGGTGTTCTTTTCTCTATGGGGGGATGAGTGTATTGCTCCATGATATATTAAGCAGCATGGAGATGGACGGAGAGATCACAGCTGAAATGCCACTCAAAATAATACCACAGTGGCCGATACAGACTTATTTGAACAGTTGTTTCGTTGACACCAGTTCTCTATTTGACACGCTTCCGTAAAGCTATTGCTATGGAAAAAAAACAACAAAAAACATATAATTGTTGCTTTTGTTAAATGTTAGATTGGTGAAATTTACTTAATAACAATTTATTATTCCTTGCAGGATGAAAACAGGATTACAGAATCAGTCAGTGTGCTGGTCTGTTCTGCTAAACAGAGAAAAGGGAGAAACGTTTTTAACTTCCTGGTATCCATCTCTCTCTCTCTCTCGCTCTAAAGCAGGGCATACGCTGTGATATTTCTTTGAACTCTCACCCTGAAACATTCCACTACTAAACCAGACACGTCTTGCTGTACTAATGGTTTTTAACAAAAGTCTTTGGAGACTTTTCTAACACAGTTGGCTGCAATGGGTTTTATTAAGTGTTTGCAGGGGATGGCAGAGAATTGTGCTGAAGTAAGAATAATACTACATCATCACACTTTAACTCATGAACGAGTAAAATGCATTTTGTAAAAGGCTACACAATTACAGTAGTAGCCATTCAAAATTTCTCGACTTTCCTTGACTACTTCTTAGCTAGTTCCTGGCTGGTCCTTCGCCGTTCCTTGGCTAGTCCTTGGCTGGTTCTTGGCTAGTCCTTGGCTGGTTCTTGGCTAGTCCTTGGCTGGTTCTTGGCTAGTCCTTGGCTAGTCCTTGGCTGGTCCTTGGCGAGTCCTTGGCTGGTTCTTGGCTAGTCCTTGGCTAGTCCTTTGCTGGTCCTTGGCGAGTCCTTTGCTTGTCCTAGGCTGGTTCTTGGCTAGTCCTTGGCTGGTTCTTGGCTAGTCCTTGGCTAGTCCTTGGCTGGTCCTTAGCTAGTCCTTGGCTGGTCCTTGGCGAGTCCTTTGCTGGTCCTAGGCTGGTTCTTGGCTAGTCCTTGGCTGGTTCTTGGCTAGTCCTTGGCTGGTTCTTGGCTAGTCCTTGGCTAGTCCTTGGCTGTTCCTTAGCTAGTCCTTGGCTGGTCCTTGGCGAGTCCTTTGCTGGTCCTAGGCTGGTTCTTGGCTGGTTCTTGGCTAGTCCTTTGCTGGTCCTAGGCTGTTCCTTAGCTAGTCCTTGGCTGGGTCTTGGCTAGTCCTTGGCTGGTCCTTGGCAAGTCCTTTGCTGGTTCTTGGCTGGTTCTTGGCTAGTCCTTGGCTGGTTCTTGGCTAGTCCTTGATTGGTCCGTGGCTAGTCCTTGGCTGTTCTGTGGCCAGCCAAGGACCTTGGCTGGTTCTTGGCTAGTGTTTTGCTAGTCCTTGGCTGTTCATTGGCTGGTCACCTGGAATTCCTTTTTAAACACCAATCTTTACACTAAAAGATTCTTTCTGTCATTATTTTGCAGACGTTAAAATCTATAGAAAAGCAGGTTTAAAAAATATGTACGCCCAGGAGAAGGGGGTCACTCCAGTGGCTGGAAGATGGAGGGGATTTTTCTTGGAGTTGAAGGGAAGTTAGCTGCCATTCGGCCGGTGTTTGACTGGGAAGGGCCATTTTGATTGGCTGCTACTGTATTTAATAACACTTCATAATATCTAATATTCAAACTTACATACCTAAGTAAAAGTTATGTGCAAATTCTATATCAAAATTCAATTTTAAAGACTATTAGGAAACTATTAAAACAAATAATGGTTCAAGAAACGTTTTCCATGCAAAGGAAATACTTTGCCAAACCATTTTTTAATCATAAATCCTATTAAAACCAGTAACTCCAGTGACAACACTTCCTCCTTAACTCCATATTAGCTTGACCTCCAAACGTCACGGTCATTTCAAGTAGGCTTGAGTACAAGAAGGAGAGCTTTGTTTTGACATAAACATTAATGTGTGTTTTTGTCTGTAGCACTTTTATTTTTAAAACAAGCTTGCTCGTTAATCAGCGAAGTACGTCACCGTTGAATGAGTAGTCAAACTTTTTACTAAAGTAAGAGTTTAAATATTTAATGAGGATATTACTCAAGTAAAAGTAAAAAGTAGTGTACAGAAACCCACTACTAAAAGTATATTTTTGTCAAAAAGTTGCTGTAACTGAGAAAACATAACTAGCTACTTTCAACCTCTCAGAATAATTAATACCTGCTTAATTTTTCCTTTTTTTAATTTGTAAAAAAATATTTAAAATCTTTGTTTTTCCACATGAAAGACTTTATGTTTTTTTCACATAAAATCCTAAATAAATACACTGGTGTTTGTGGATGGAACATGATGAAATGTGGGAAAATTCAAGGGGTATGAATACTTTTGCGAGGCACCGTAACAGAAGGCTGCATCGAAATGCCTTTATTAAACAAATCATATAGATGTGCTTTTTTTTTTTTGTTCTTGCTTTGGCTGTATAAATTCCACATGTGTAAATAAACAGAAAAAAGACTGAATTATTATTTGTTGGTAAATTTTAATGGAAAACCTCCATATTTAAGTGTTTTAGGATCATTTAAAAAATGAACTGCTTGTACAGCGAGAAGCACATTTATTAGTTCCTCCTCCGGGCAAATGTAAAGTGCAAAATTTGAAAGAAAAGCACAAATTTTAAACGAAAAAAAAAACCATAAAATCTGTTCTTATTGGAAAACTTTGATCACAGAATAGCACTGCTATGTTAGTCATTCATTCACTAAGAAAAGAAATGTAAATGCTGCAAATGGGGTTTCAGTTAGTTGGTCAACCTGAGTGGAGAAGCCACTAAATAAAATAACATATCTGGAAAAACAACATATTTTTTTAAAACACTGTACATGCACTGCAAAAACAATCCAGAAATAAGTAAAAAATGGCTTAAATTAAGTATATTTAGCCTTAATTTGAGCAGGTCTTATTTTAAAAGGAAATTGTCTTGTTCCATTGGCAAAGTGTCTTACTTATCTCCTCAAATCAAGGAAAAACACACTTATTTTAAGAAAAAATAACTTATTGAGATTTATATTTTTTGCAGTGTGGGTGTGAATATTGTAACCCAAAGTCGTTAAAATGCAGCAAGAAAACACGCGAATAATTCTGCTAAAACAATGACTCAAGCATCCGGGAGTCAGGAAGATGCAGAAGCATAAATATTAACCGAGTACCTTGGAAACCTTTCAGGTCTGTGTTTTTAAGGAGGATAAACATCGGATGACCGACATTTACACTGCAAAAAATGTAAATCTAAATAAGTCATTTTTTCTTAAAATAAGTGCATTTTATCCTGATTTGAGGAGATAAATGAGAGACTTCGCCAATGGAATAAGACAATTTACATTTGAAATAAGAAAAATCAATTGCATTGTCTTATTTCAAGTGCATATTATCTAATTAACTTATTTTAAGTGTGAAAATACTCATCCCATTGGCAAACTATCTTATTTACCTGCTCAATTTAAGGGTAAATACACTTGATTAAAGAAATTTTTACTTAATTTCAGATTGTTTTTGCAGTGTAGAGTCTGAACTTGAAAAAAACAAAATCTAGAAAAGTTATTTTTTCTTAAAATAAGTGCATTTGTTCTTAGATTAAGGAGAGATTTTGCCAATAGACCAAGACAATTTTCACTTAAAATAAGAAAACACAATTGCATTGTCTTATTTTAAATGTATATTATCTAATTATCTTATTTTAAGAGTAAAAATACTCATTCCATTGGCAAAATATCTCATTTACCTACTCTAATTAAGGGTAAATACACTTAATTTAAGAAGTTTTTACTTATTTCTAGATCATTTTTCCAGTGTGAACCAGACTCGGACTGGGAACGATTTTCGGCCCTGGAATTTTTCCATCTACACCGGCCCACATATGGACCCGTGTGCTTCTCAAATGTGAAACACAATAGGAATACACATTGTGGATTAACCAATCTATCTTCAAGCATCTGCTTTTTGTCCTGAATCTTCTCCACTCTCTCACGTTTTCAAAGCCCAAGAAATGTTCATAAACCGGCTGTATATACGAAATCTCGCCCAATTTGAACCAAAGTCTGTCGATTTCTTAGACCATAAATCTAAAGATTGGGAAACAGTCCAACCTGGCAACAGTGCATGTAAGGTGGGAAACGTTTTGCCTTTAGAAGCAAAACCCCATCATGCACTGCAACATATTTTTGCAAAATATTCTAAAATAAATTTGCCAAATATAAGAGGAAAATCATAGTTGGGTTTAAAGAAAGCATTTAAGTTTAATTATAATTTAGTTTGTTGCAAGGATTTTACAATTTGAAGAAATAGAAAATTACACCATATGCCAACCGTCACAAGGATGTGCCTGTGCTGTATATACTGCATGCATCAATATAGTAGTTACTTTATTATTATTTAAGTAGTAACTTCTTGAGCTCCTTGAGTTACTTGCTGTCACAGATAGGAGCTTTGGCGGGCGAGTAAGTGTTGAAATTAGGACCGGTGTCAGAGATTACCAGTCCGAGCCTGGTCTGAACCTTTTGCAGCAGGCATTCCCAAAGTCGCACCACTTTCCTGCAGGTTTTAGAGGTTTCTCTGCTTTAGCACAGCTGATTCTGATGATTGCAGCTCAGCAAAAGCCTGTTAATCAATTATCAATGTAAATCAGCTGTGCTGGAGCAGAGAAACCTTTAAGACTATTGGAATATTGCTGAAGGTTGCACAAAGAGGAGTGATGCAGAAAAAACAGAACCAGTAGTCGTAGTTTTACTATGTACAGGAAGAAAAAACAAATAAAAACATATAAAAAGGCACTTTAAAGTTAAAGTCTCTCCTAAACATCACATTAGTCAGGTGGGAGCACCTTTACACCATTTCATGTGCTTCCGATAACATCTTTCGTTATGCACTCTCTCTGCTTCCACTTCACGTCTCTTTTTCCTTTGTCACATAAACCCTTTTCTTTTCTTTGACCCATTCAGGGCGAATTAGACAGTTAGAATAGATGGCGAGTCAATAGTCCAAGTGGTATTTTTATGGGCGGCAGCAAAAAACAGCTCATCTTCAGTAGACATATACCTCCACCTTGTGGTGGACTTTTGAATTGTCTTTTACATATGTCCAAATTTCAGAATAAAAAGTTTGGGCTTTTGGATCAATCTGGTAGATGATTCAGATGAAAAAAGAAAAAAAAACAAGGAATAGGGATAAAATCTACACCCTGATATCGATTCGCTTCAGTCTTTTCCATCAAAGCCCTCCTAGGTTCTTTTCTTTAACTCCCATTCCTGCAGAAAAAGAACAAGAAAACAATTTTTAAAGAAGGATTTTTCCATAACTTATAGTGATACAAAAATAATGAATAAAAGTTAGTATTAGATGCATAAAACGGAGCTCTTTAAGAAGGATTGATCAAAAACAATGTTTATAATAACTGAAGCTAGTTTTCTAGAATTTAAATAAAAAATTGAATAATGTAAAATATGTATATATTTGCCCTTAATTTAAGCAGATGACTAATTTTACCCTTAAAAGAAGATATTTAGACATAAATATCTTCTTTTAAGGGCAAGACTTAAAGACTAAAACTTGTGGATATAGTTTTTTTTTTCTTATTTCAAACATAAATACTTATTATTCTACTTCCATTGTCTAATTCGCCTAAATAAATGAAGGGAAAATACATTTATTTCAAGGAAAATTGAGTGCATTAAAAAGGTATTTCATCTTCTCCAAGAGAACAATAACAATAATAAAATAAATATCATCGTTACATCTACTTATTTCACGGGACATTAACCCATATATTTCCTGATATTCAAATACCTCAGGGATCACATCATGATGATTATCTTGCGACGCTGCTGTTCATGTTTCGCCACAATCCAATTCAAAGTGGGATACTCTAATTTTTTCCAATTATTGTTTCTTTAAATGGTTTGTTTTCCCTTATCATCATTTGAAAAACACATTTAAATGTGACAAATAACACAGAATAAATCAGAAAAGTCTCTTGCAGTGCATGTCCCTCCCCACTGAATGCCATGACAATAATAGAATAAATCTCTTACTCAAAAGTCTTATTATTTGCCTATAATTTCTTTACTGACACTATAAGGCTAGACTTGTTTTATTTATTACAACCAAAGTGCTTCATTAATTCAATGTCTTTTAAAAACTGAGAACATTTCTACACATGGACGGCTGATGATGCTGTTTGGTTTGTTCTGTTTCAAAATAAAACATGAAAAAAACAATAAACCACAAGTTAGTTTGTTAAAAGAGCCGCATTTTCTTATCTTAATGGCTAAATAAAAGAAATGCTTCGAAATTTTCGACCCATTTTTGTGTAATTTAGAGGATTTTTTGACAAAACAAACAGTTTTAAATATTTATCCGATCTTTATCTGTGTTAAAACTGAGCAGGTAAATAAATGGAGGCTACTCCACCATTTTGCATTTCCTGTCTTTACTGTGGTATCCAGACTTCAAAGTAAAAGCATAAGGCAGGAAGTTTGTTTCTTGGTAAATTTTGCTCAGTGCTGAGAAAAAAAGAGTGATGCATCTCCATGGCGATGGAAAGCATTGCTGACTTCACACCAGTCCTCAGGAGGTTTAGCAGTCTGCCTAAGAATTTGATCAGCAATGCAAACGGGGAAACGTGTGGATGCTTTTTTCTTACTTTTAAAAAAACAGTTTAAACTTCTACACTGAAAAAAATTAAATCAAAAATAATAAATTTTTCTTAAAATAAGTGCATTTTTTCCTGAAATGAGGAGATAAGTAAGACACTTTGCAAATGGAACAAGACAATTTGAGTTCAAAATAAGAAAAAAAAACAATTGCATTGTCTTATTTCAAGTGCATATTATCTAATTATCTTATTTTAAGAGTAAAAATCCTCATACCATTGGCAAATCATCTTATTTACCTTCTCAAATTAAGGGTAAATACACTTAATTTAAGACATTATTACTTATTTCTAGATCATTTTTGCAGTGTAATAGTTTTAGTTATAACCCTAAAACATTGTTTTTATTTAACCTATTATTTACTGACCCTTTGTCTGCCTTTTTTAAACATAAAGACGCAAACCTCTACTTAATAGATTTTTAATTAATTTTAACCTGCAGCAATAACGCTAGCTCTACCAATTAGAACAGCAGACATTTATTTTGATTTTTAGACATTTAAAGACTTTGGATTTTTGATTATTCAACATTTAAATTTTTGCATTTAGGTTTTAAAAATAGAAACACAGAAAAAAACTAAACTGGGTTCTTATTGAAACAGAAACTCTAGAGACCGAACCGCATAGGTGAGGTCAGGTGAGCATCATCACCTTGGCTTTCTGCATGACGGTTCCAGCAGACGAAGCACAGATGGACGGCGGTCTCTTTCGCATCTCTGCAGCGCAGTTCACCGGTAGGGCATCGCTGTAGGTGTTCTGAACTCGTTTACCTGACTTCTGCAAAAAGTGAAGGAGAAAATAAAAAGGGAAGAAAGAAAGAAAGAAAAAAAGAAAGAAAGAGATTGAGATTTTGATAACTCATTTATTATCAATACATAATCAACATAGTATCGTATCACAAACTATGTAACAGAAAAAAAACAAGAAAAAACAAACACCAATTTTCTAAAAATGAGTTCTCCTCCTACCACACTACAAATTACTTTCCCATGACTCCAGATGTGCCAAAACGTATCTAAATCTGATACTGATCTGTAAAAATTAAATTCAAGTAATAGCCAAGACTTCACCAAGTTAATAAACAAAGAAACCAGGTCAATATTCAAATCTTCCACCACCTTCCTCTTTCTACTTATGCACACAGCCATTTTGGGATGTCCTAACAAGAAATTAATCAATTCACATTTGCTCTTTTTTGGCGTGTGAATCTAAAACAACAAATAAATCCATGTTTAGTCAACATTTCACCATATCTGTTAATAATAGTTCTCAAAAGCACAAAAAGAGCCGACGGACGAACACAGTCAGAAAAACAATGAAACAATGTTTCTCTCTGTTCACAAAATGGACATTTATCTTCCACAAAAAGATTAATAACAGAAACTAAAGAATTTACACTTAAATTACCATGAAGGATTCTCCATTATATATCTGCATGTTTTTTCGTTAGAGAAGGAAGGAAGGAAGGAAGGAAGGAAGGAAGGAAGGAAGGAAGGAAGGAAGGAAGGAAGGAAGGAAGGAAGGAAGGAAGGAAGGAAGGAAGGAAGGAAGGAAGGAAGGAAGGAAGGAAGGAAGGAAGGAAGGAAGGAAAAAGGGTCGATAAATATACCTTGGCGAGTAGCTCGGCCTCCACAGGTGCACCCAGTGCGCCGCCTGCCAGGCTCTTCTTCAGGTTTTCCTTGACTTGTGTCAGTCTCAGTTCCAGGTCCACCCTCTCGGCCTCTTTGGCCTTGCACGCTTCATCCAGCTGGGACACGCGCTTATTCAGGAAGGATTTCCTCCTGTCTGCTCCACAAAGACAAGGAAAGAAAGCATCCTTTTACTCTTATGTTCCCTCAGAAAGTGGAAGAACCTTTGAAATCAAACTGCTTTTCATTGAACACCAATAAGACATGCTGCGTATTGCTCGATTTCTCCCATTTTCAAACACTTGTGTTTCCTGGATAGCAGCCAGGCACAGGAATTACAGGAAATGAATGAATTAGAAATGGGAGACATTTTTATAAACATGTTGTTTTTAATAACAGCGATAATTATTATTATTATTCCTCTCTCAGATTAGAAACTAGGGTCATAAACAGAGCAGCTACAGTATAAAGCCTGTTGGTAAAAGATGTGAAAGAAGCTTTAAATTCATCCAACAAAATAATCTCACACGGAAAATTGATAAAATAATAAAATTTGTGATCTAAGTACATTTAGTTAGTCACAGAAACACCCAAAAACTGATTATTCAATGTTGCTATAGTTATTGGTAGACTTTCATGTGTGTTTTCTAATTAATTTTTTCCTGATTTGATCAAATTGTCAATATCATTGGATTAATAATCCGTGTGCACTGGTTAATCCTGGGTACAAACATGACTTCCAATTTACCCTGTTTTCAACACTGCAAACACAAAAACTCTGGCGTCTCTTTTAAAGTCTAAACATGTCTGCATAAAAACATTCATTCATTGAGACAGCAGAAAAAAAGGATATAAAAAAAACATGTAAAAACTGTCAGAAAACTGTAATATTAAGTCTTATTTTCTGGTCACTAATATGGAGGATAAAAAGTGCCAAAATTAAATAAATAAATACAGCATTAAATAAATAATTAAATGTGTCAATAATTAATTAAATGTGGAATTAAATAAACAAATGTGTCATTCATTCATTAAAACCACATCACTAATATAAAGTGCCACAATTAAATAAATAAATACAGCGATAAACAATTAATTAAATGTGTAATTCATTAAATAAATAAGGAATTAAATATATAAATGTGTCATTCATTTAATAAAATACGTCTTCATTTTATAAAAAAATATATATATAATTATTTCAGTGTGCATTTAATTATTTCATGGTCCTGTGTCGCAGTGCATCGAAACCATTAAAAGAATCTGTCAAACTCATCCATCAAAGTTAGGGGGCTGTTATCTAGCACCTGATTGGTCACCCTGCACATTAAGGCGAAGCAAATCGACTCGATTTGCGTTAAGACCGCCCCCTAACTTTGATTGGTGAGTTTGACAGATTCTTTTAATGTTTATCGCTGTATTTATTTATTTAATTGTGGCACTTTATATTAGTGACGTGGTTTTAATTAATGAATGACACATTTATTTATTTAATTCCACATTTAATTAATTATTGACACATTTAATTATTTATTTAATGCTGTATTTATTTACTTAATTTTGGCACTTTTTATCCTCCATACTCTAAATCTGCAGAACAATAAATAGGAATAAAAATATGTGCTTTATACAGGCTGACTGGTTCTAAAGGAGGAAAATGATAGAAAAGCCCTTTCTGTGCTTTATATGCAAATCTGTAAAGTTTGTAAAATGGTGCCTAAATTTTAAGACATTTATGCACAAAAAAATCCATGTGAGTCTGACAACAGAAAAAAAAAAAAAAGGTATAAATATGTGGAAAAGCCCCTCATTTATGGTCTAGAAGTAAAGCTTAATGGAGGATAAACTGACTTCTGGCTGCAGGAAATGTTCACAGCGGCGTCCAGGCAGGAAGCGATGCGGATTAATAGGTGATGAAACCAGTTTAGAGTCGACTTATACTGATTGGATTGAACCAACAGGAAAATAAAGCAAACACAGCATCTATATTCTCCTCATAAATCAGAGCTGATTTTCATAAAGCCCTAATAAAGGGCTAATAGCTAAGAAAACTATTCACATATTTATACATCAGTGCTGTTTAATTTTATGGTTCTAGATAATTTATACATTAAATGGGTGGATCAGCTTATCTTTATCTTTCATTACATATAAGACTCCTAGATGCTGCAGAGACCAACTCTACCCCATAAAACATAAAAACTGATTAGTAAAAGAACATTGACTCCTTAATAATCCTCCTTATTCTTATTAGAAATATTGAATGACTGTATTTTTATTGTTAGTGTTTGGTTCATATACCAACTTTAAAAGGTCAAAGTAGGACCTTCCACATGCCAGCATCAGTGCTGCCACCTTCTGGTTTAGAGGAGAACTGCTTGATCCAGAGGTGGTGGATTACTGGACATCCACATGGTGGTGGTGGGACGTAACGGTTAGCAATAATATGCTGTGGGTGGACATAATCTGTTTGTGTATGTTCGTTTCATCATTCTGCTTCATTCAATCTCTATTCTCCCACTCTGCAGAATCTGTTAGTTCAATCTCTAACGTTCTGCTCTCTCTGCTTTTTCTCATAGTAGCTTCATCTGGTCTGTTCCTGTTTGGCTGTGACTCCATCCTGGAGAGAAATATCAGCTGTGCTGCTGCCATCAACACCTTTGTTTCTAGATTTTGGAGATCGGCCTGTTTTTCAGTGTAGTCCTGTTTCTCTGACTGTGACTAACTGGATGTGCTCTCTTCATCCTCTTACATGGCTGTGTGTTTCCTGGACGGGGGCCGCCTGTGGAGCTGGTTGACAGTTGCCTTTTGTATCTATGCTTCTATTTCTATGTCTGCTTCTGTCTCCTTGAACCCCAGTGGGCCTCAGCAGATGGCCGCTCACACTGATCCTGGTTCTGCTGAAGGTTTCTTCCTGTTCAAAAGGAGTTTTTCCTCTCCACTGTCGCTACAAGCATGCTTAGTGTGAGGGATTGCTGAGGAGTCAATGAGTTTTCCTTAGATAGAAAACTTTGAATCAATTTGAATAGATGATCTGGTGAACTGTAAAGTGCCTTGAGATGACGTGTTATGAAATGGCTTGACGTGCAGATGTGCAAAAAAAAATCTTCTAACATCAACCTAAATCCATAAATCCAAATAGAGCGGAAATAATCCGGGATTAAGATGATACAGATGAAGGATCAAAGATCCCGGTTCTTCAGTTCTGTGAAAAGTTGCAGGAGGAAACGACAAACTGCCTGGTTTACAAAAGGTTGTACAAAGCATTGTCGGTGTTCTGTCAGATGAGTATACCCCGTCAGAACAGCATACCTATAATCAATATCCCTTTGGTTTATTCCTGTTTATCCCTTTAGTTTATTTCCGTTTATCCCTTTAGATTATTCCTTTAGTTTATTCCCGTTTATCCCTTTAGTTTATTCCTTTAGTTTATTCCCGTTTATCCCTTTAGTTTATTCCTTTAGTTTATTCCCGTTTATCCCTTTAGTTTATTCCTTTAGTTTATTCCCGTTTATCCCTTTAGTTTATTCCTTTAGTTTATTTCTGTTTATCCCTCTAGATTATTCCCGTTTATCCCTTTAGTTTATTCCTTTAGTTTATTCCCGTTTATCCCTTTAGTTTATTCCCGTTTATACCTTTAGTTTATTCCTTTAGTTTATTCCCGTTTATCCCTTTAGTTTATTCCTTTAGTTTATCTCTTTAGTTTATTCCTTTAGTTTATTCCCGTTTATCCCTTTAGTTTATCCCTTTAGTTTATTCCTTTAGTTTATCCCTTTAGTTTATCTCTTTAGTTTATTCCCATTTATTACTTTAGTTTATCCCTTTAGTGTATTCCTTTAGTTTATTCCCGTTTATCCCTTTAGTTTATTCCTTTAGTTTATTCCCGTTTATCCCTTTAGTTTATTCCTTTAGATTATTCCCGTTTATACCTTTAGTTTATTCCTTTAGTTTATTCCCGTTTTTCCCTTTAGTTTATTCCTTTAGTTTATCCCTTTAGTTTATTCCTTTAGTTTATTCCCGTTTATCCCTTTAGTTTATTCCTTTAGTTTATTCCCGTTTATCCCTTTAGTTTATTCTCGTTTATACCTTTAGTTTATTCCTTTAGTTTATTCCCGTTTATCCCTTTAGTTTATTACTTTAGTTTATTCCCGTTTATCCCTTTAGTTTATTCCCGTTTATACCTTTAGTTTATTCCTTTAGTTTATTCCCGTTTATCCCTTTAGTTTATTCCCGTTTATACCTTTAGTTTATTACTTTAGTTTATTCCCGTTTATCCCTTTAGTTGATCCCTTTAGTTTATTCCTTTAGTTTATCTCTTTAGTTTATTCCTTTAGTTTATCCCTTTAGTTTATTCCTTTAGTTTATCCCTTTAGTTTATTCCTTTAGTTTATCCCTTTAGTTTATTCCTTTAGTTTATCCCTTTAGTTTATTCCTTTAGTTTATTCCCGTTTATTCCTTTAGTTTATCCCTTTAGTTTATTCCTTTAGTTTATTCCCGTTTATCCCTTTAGTTTATCCCTTTAGTTTATTCCTTTAGTTTATTCCCGTTTATCCCGTTAGTTTATTCCCGTTTATACCTTTAGTTTATTCCTTTAGTTTATTCCCGTTTATCCCTTTAGTTTATTCCCGTTTATACCTTTAGTTTATTACTTTAGTTTATTCCCGTTTATCCCTTTAGTTGATCCCTTTAGTTTATTCCTTTAGTTTATCTCTTTAGTTTATTCCTTTAGTTTATTCCCGTTTATTCCTTTAGTTTATCCCTTTAGTTTATTCCTTTAGTTTATCTCTTTAGTTTATTCCTTTAGTTTATTCCTGTTTATCCCTTTAGTTTATTCCTTTAGTTTATCCCTTTAGTTTATCTCTTTAGTTTATTCCCATTTATTCCTTTAGTTTATCCCTTTAGTTTATTCCCGTTTATCCCTTTAGTTTATTCCTTTAGTTTATTCCCGTTTATCCCTTTAGTTTATTCCCGTTTATATCTTTAGTTTATTCCTTTAGTTTATTCCCGTTTATCCCTTTAGTTAATTCCCGTTAATTCCTTTAGTTTATTCCCGTTTATCCCTTTAGTTTATTCCTTTAGTTTATTCCCGTTTATCCCTTTAGTTTATTCCTTTAGTTTTGTACAAAAAATAGACTTCAAACTACCTCCATGGGCGTGTATCCCTTTAGTCACCTACAAAAAAAAACAATTCAATTGCTTACTTTTTGGTATTTTTAAAGCGTAAGGCGATCTGAATTAATTATTTTCTTTTTGTATATGACTAAAGGGATGCATGCCTGTTGAGGTAATTTAAAGTCTATTTTAAATGCAAATTTGACGTCTTGCACACGCGTATTGACTATGTGTATGCTGGTCTGACGGCGTATGTTCATCCAACTGAACAACGGCAGTGTGATAATAAATAACAGACCTACAGGTTGATCTTTGTTCAACATTGAAGAACAGATTTCCTACTGCTGTAGATTTATTTATTTCTCTTTTTGCCAATGTGGAAAACACAGGATTAAATCCTGGGAGCACCGGTGTATTTTTAACCCAAACTGATAGAGTTATGTACTGTAGTATTTGCCTTATTCTTCTTCTTCTTCTTCTTACCTGAGGCCACTTTAAGCTCCTCCTTCAGGTCCCTCTTCTGCTGCCGCAGTGTCACCAGCGCGTTTCGGATTCCGTCCCGCTCTTTTTCCAGCCCCTCTTTTTCTCTGAGGTAACGTTTGGCGTCTTCCTCGGCTCGAGTTTTCCCATACCTTCCATAGGGGTTGGTATCTGGGTGGGAGCAAAAAGTGAGGGGGTCAGACGTGCAGAGGTTGTGGGAAAAGGACAAAACTCCTGACAATGATTTCCCTTCCTGCTTGATGAATACTCAATTTGTTTTGTTCCTTTTTCGGGCGATAAAGTGAGATTAACACACTGGTTTCAAAGGACTGAATCTCTGAGTTTTAACTTTGTAATTAGGTGGAAACATGTAGATGATATGTGAAGATAAGATAGCAGACAATAACTCAGGGGAGAGGTCGAGAGGTGAGGCAGCACATCTAACGTGAGGGTCCAATAAATCTCCGATTACATCCTAAAACTCCTCACCATAAAAAGCGCAGAGGTATCTTTAGTGTCAAAGAAGCAGATAGATGAATTCTCAGGGAACCAAAAACACTAATCTGCTCTGCTTGTAAAGCTAATGACACAACAAGGCTTTTGGGAGGTGGTGAGTGAAAAGGGAGATTGCTGAAGGAAGATGACAGGGATCAATATGGAAAGAAGCAGGATTGAGGGAAGGGGGTAAATTATAGGACTGACAGCAAACTGGCTGAGCTCTAGACGGCGCCTACAGGGAGAGAGCGATTTCTAAAGAGAAACAGAATCTGTGACTCCGAAGAGAGACGTAACTACAGCATACTAACAGGAAACATCTGCGTTATCTCTTTTTAAACTCCCTTTATGCTCTCTGGAGCGATACATGGAAAGTGTGGGTGAGTATAAAGCTGACAAAACACTGCAACATAATTTCTGTAAAAGCAAAAAAGAAAAAAAAAGCTCTGCACGGATCCATGTTAACCACCGGCTGGAGAAAATGCATTCAAACATGTAAAAGAGCCATGAAATCAAAGTAGTTTGTGCGTTTTTGTGTTGCTGGGTTCATTAAAGACTGTTGATGTACCCCCAGTTTGGCTCAAAATTACAAATGTTTTATCTATTTATTTATTTTATGTATATTTCACAACAAGGAGATAAAAGTAAAAAGTAAGAATTCTCCCATAATATCAGTTCTGAATTAATGAGGCCAAACTAATGATTTAACAAAAATGAAATCATCTGTTCTGATGGAAACTTGTAGGAAAATTTTTTTTAGTGCTTAGTCCTGTTTCTCTCATATTTCTCACATACCTATGGGTTGAGCTTTTACTGTGACTAACTGAATCTGCTCTCTTTTATACCTCAGACATAAAAACTGGCTCATAACTTCTTCTTTGCCAGACAGCGGCACCTATGGAGCTACTTTACTGGTAGCTTCGCTAACGTGGAACGGATTTATCGATCTGTGCTTCTATGTTCCTTCTGTTTTTCTGCTCTCTAATTGAACCCCCATTCAATTTTGGCAGACTGAGCCTGGTTCTGCCTGTTTAAAGGGAGTTTTTCCTCTCCACTGTCGCTTCATGCATGCTCAGCTTGATGGATTGCTGAAGAGTCAAGAACAAAATGCAAATAAAAGTTTGCCATCTTTACATGCTAATCCAGGACGAGACAATCCTGCATATTGTAGAAACATCACCTCAGTGATTCATTTGATACTGAAAACTTTTGTTATGTAACGGGTGGAGTGTCAGCTAACCATTATTTTGCTAAATTTTAAATTTTTTTTAATTATTATTCAAACTGGAAATGGTTCCTTAAAGAAGATTTTATACAGAGTTTAATCCAGGTGAAGATGAAGTTAACACAAGTTCTGGATGGAACATATTGAAAGACAAAATGTTTTATTTTTTAATCTTAGATAAAAATGTTTGTATATTTCTGTTTATCATTTTGGTTTATTTGCTGCTCTGAGTCGGTCGCTCTTTCAGCTGTGGCATGTCTTATAGTCTGTGTACTCTGAACAAGAAACAAGAAAAACCTGCTTGCAACAACTTAACCCAAAGGTTTATCTTAACATAAACCACTGCACTAATGTTTCAAATTTTGAAAAGCTTCCCATACGGGAAGAAAGCTAAAAACACACAAATGGCAGATATATTTTAACAATTATTTAACTGAATTCACAAACTTTGTTTTAGCAGGGAACAAAACAAATCAGTTTTATAGCCACAACATAACCAGTGCTAAGTCTTTTTTGCAGCTATTTTTCTTTGTATGGTTTTCTTAGTATGTTTGATTTGGTGATAAGTGGAGGCGTTGCAGAGACAAGGGTGGAACTAAACTGAGAAATACCGGCTGTTTCTCTGTAACTCCATTTTGACGCTTTGTGTTTTGTGCTTCGCATGTGCGACTCCACTGCCTTAATTCCCATCGTTCCCAGCTTGAAGGACTTCTTGCATAAAATCCACTGAGCCTCATGTATGTTCCCTGGTTTTAGCCATGGAGGAAACTCTTGGCTGGAGACAAATTTTTTTTTCACATTTACACTTGCTCAAATTTTCCAGACAAAAAGTTAATGGTGCATCTCCCAAATGTCCCGGCCGCAACAACGCTTTTATTGGTGCCGCTATCGGGACGGAAAAAAAATTGTCAAATTTTATGTTTCATTTAGATTACAAAAATAAATCGTAATAAAATAGGGATGCACGATATTGGGATTTTGGCCGATATCCGATATTTTAAAACTCATGTAGCCGATAACCGATATCGATACCAATGTTAAAGCTGGACAAAAATAAGTAGTCATTGAAAATAGCAGTTTTGTTATCCATTTCTGACACTTTGAAAAATAATATACTCAAATATATTTTCATATGCTGATATCAAACTGATTTTTAAAAACGCGGTATCGATCTATTTTACTTTCAAAATCTCGTGAAATTTCATCGTTCTGTTACAAACTCTCGTGATATTTTGCAAATTCTTGTGAGATTTTGTTAGAAAAATAGATCGATACCGCGTCAATATATCAACATATAAAAATATGGCAACATTTCGTGAATTTTCGGGGGATTTCGTAGCATAACGATGACATATAGCAATATTTCATTAGTAAAAGAGATTGATATGGTGTTTTTAAATGGCAATATATCAGCATATGAAGATATTGGGATATTTTAATGTATCAATATTTTTTCCCTCGTCTTTAGAAGTTTTTAAGTCTGTAAAAAAATAAGTTTTTGAGGAAGAAGAAGAAGTAATTTTTTTTTTTAGACTTTAGAAACTCAGAAGCTGATCAAATATCGGGTTAAATATCTGTGGGGTGGCCGATGTCCGATATTCAGTTTTAAGGCCGATACCGATAGGGGGCCGATTATATTGTGCATCCCTATAATAAAAATAATCCTTTTTATTATGTTTAAAAATTAAGACCTACAAAAGATTGATTTAAGACATTCTAATACCAATTAAGGCCTTAGTTTTATTTTGAAGAATTCAATGACTTTTAAGACTTTTTATGGACCCGCGGGAACCCTTAATCAAGGAAATGGAACCTAGTTCAAACATTAAACTGGTATTTTTTATGGAAAATCCGGTTATTTTTACATGATTCTTAAAATTAGATGAAACAGGTGAAGCAACTTTCTTCATTTTTTTCAGAAATGTGCAGCAAACCAGACGCTTTTCATCACTTTTCACCTCATGAACGAAGCTCTCTTTCTATTGGAGCATCTTTCAAGCAGAAGAATAAATGTACTTACTGGAGCCGGTCCGCTTCAGGGAAACTAATGACTTGGCTTGGTCAAAGTCGCTCTGGGAGAAACTGGAGCCACTCCTCCCTTGATTCACTGATTTCTCCCTTGTCTGGGTGGAGCAGAGAGGAGAAGCAGCGAGAAAAAGAGGGGAGGAAGATTACAAAACAATTTAAGAACAACAGTCATAAGTTTAGGATTAAACTTAATAATCAGACATTAATTAAAAAAATGTTATATGTGGAGAAAACAGATTTGTTTATGGTCTGTTAAACTGTATTGACCTTTGACCTTCTTCTCACTCGTCTGAAAAGTCTTTTTTTTCCACCTCTGGCCTTAAAAGCGACATGAAACAGACCACCGTCTATTTTTCTGTCTTTCATTCAGACAGTGACGCTTCACCACAGCTGCTCATGCTCAGTCCGATCACATCAAAGCAAAACCTTCAGAAGCCAGGAAAGAGAGCGTGGGCATTTCAGCACGTGGGCCTCACCTGTGTGACCTCAGCGGGAACCTCGTCGTACGTCCTGGAGTCTGTGGAGGTGCTGCTGGAGGAGGTGGCCCACCTGGGATCAGAGCAGAGAGGAAACACGGGAAACAGGGCAGAGGTCAAAACGCTCCCAATCGGCTTCGAACTCGTCCAGATTATCCCAGACATAATCAACGCCTCACTCACAGGAAGGAATTTCGAGCGGCGTCCCGGATGTGTGCGAGGGTCTCCACGTCGACGTAGTCGTAGTGCAGGGACTCCGGGTCTGTGGCGCAGCCTGTTTCCGCGAGGATGACGCCGAGCCACCGTCCAAGTTCATCAGAGCTGCTCGCCTATCAAACCACAAGCATTTCTAATTTATTTCATCTAGGAGGCAGGGAGGAAGGGCCGGCTGTTACAAAAACAAACATCTAAACTCTTATTGCAAAGTTTTGTTCTTTTTATCCTCTCAGGGGTCAAATATTTTACATTTTCTTTACTCTGCTTTGGTCTCCACCCAAACATGCTGCTCAAAGGAGGAACATTTATTTGGGCTTTATAACTTAACACCAACCTCATTTGAAGTTATTTGAAGTGATTTGAAGTGCATATCCAAATGGAAAAGCAACTAACTGAGGAACTGTAAGACCAAATTACACGTGTGATACATCATTTCAAAGCTAACATCTTCGAGTTTCTGAGGTAGTAGAAAATTGGGTGAGTAAAACACAGCCTAAGCTGCATCAGTTTAAACATGACTCAAATATGTTTTTTTTATTCCCGAAAATAGAAGGTCTTTTTTGAACAGTGGTACTAAAGACATGTTTGATAATAGGTATTGTACTACCTTTGTTCTACATCATGTAAACCACAAATGGAGAAAACTTCAGACCTCTAGCTACAGTTCCAGAGCTGTGGGGCTTTGAACTTTTGGTGTTACCAGCGTCTCCAAATCTCTCCAATTTGTGCCAAATGCTTTTATTCAACTATTTGACCCATAGCATAACACTGGGGCATTTTCATCACCACAAAACATTTATGAAGTAAGTATTTTTCACTTTTTTTCAGAATCAGTGCAAAAAACCAAATGTAACATTTGCGGATCCAGACATTGAATTGAAAAAGCTTCCTGGATGGGAAGCGAAACGTCTTTAAACCTTGGAAACCAAGTCCAGTGGATTGTTGTTTTTTTTTACTTTTACGGAACATTTATAAACCTAAAATAACATAAAAATCTATTTAAAAAATAGATAAACTGCTGCTTTTCAAGCTAAAATAAGCCCCAGTGCCTTTTCTGAGCTGTATTTTTATTTTTATTTTTTTCAGCCTTAGGCATTGTCATAAAACGAAATCAGCATCCAAACTTAAAAAATATCAGTGTTGTTATTATTCAGCTTGGAGCTGCACACATTGATCTGCTTTATATAATCTACCCACGTGTAGGATTGTTCGAAACCTTATTTCATTGGCTACAAAGCCAAACAGCCCACTTGGTTTTAACCAATAACAGCAGGACTCTATGAGGCGTAATATTGCTCTACTCGGTGCGTCATTGGCTAACAAAGATGCGGAAACTTTAGTCTTGTAGGCAGAGATGGGAAGTAACGAAGTACAAATACTTTGTTACTGTACTCAAGTAGATTTTTCTGATATTTTTACTTTACTACTTATTTTTATGGCTACTTTTTACTTCTAATCCTTACATTTTTACACAAATATCTGTACTTTCTACTCCTTACATTTAAAAAAATTGTCTCGTTACTTTAGTTTTGAATCATTTCAATGGAGTTACCGTTATTATTTTTCACGTCATCAATACCAAATTCAATCTAATTGGATGGGAATCTACGTTGCATTTGACGCACCACTACAAGATGAATCGACAGATTCTGCGGTATTCATTCGCGGCAAATCATTGCAGCTTGGTGGCGGTGGCGTTAGCATAGTAGCATGGACGACGAGATGATTGAAAATGAACACAACGGAGATCTAGTCCTATTGGCAGACATCCATTTAAAATGTAGGCAACGGCATGAAAAAAGTGGTTTCTACTTTTACTTTTATACTTTAAGTAAATTTACAAGCCTGTACTTTGTTACTTTTACTGGAGTAAAGATGTTTAATCAGTACTTCCACTTTTACCAGAGCATTTTTTAACACAAGTATCTGTACTTTTACTCAAGTACGGAAAGTGAGTACTTTTGCCATCTCTGCTTGTAGGTAAGAAGACGAAGTAAAGAAACACACCAAACATTGCAGGCAAACAACTGTGGAAATAAGTATTAGGAGTAAATATTAGCATGATGCTAAGCATTAGCTATGCAGCTAACTTTTCTTATGTCAAAAACTGGATGTTATACGGCGATTTTCTTATCATGGAATATTTTTATTATGAATAATCTGGATTATTTTTAATCTGTGGACCCTTATGGACAAATGGAGTATAAACAATTGGAGATTGGATTTATAAAACGGCTTCTGGACGCCTTTAAAGGTATGTTTTTGTGGCTGTTTTGTAATTTTTACATTTTAACATGCTTCTATATCTGTGTTAATTGTGCTTTGGTGCTCTCTGTTTCCATTAAAGCTACAGTGTGTAATAATTACAGGCATATAAAGTCAGAAATTTAATATATTATACATAACTATGTTATTTATCATCACCTATGAGCTCAGCCTTTTAACCATAATATTTGCGTTGCCTTAGAATTCGTTATTTATAATTACATAGGAGCGGGTCTCGCAGCCATGGAGGCTGACATCTTTGCGCTACGGCAAGCGCAGAGGCAACAAACTAGCGATTGCGAGATCTCCCATGACGCTCAAAAATAACTACGGCAAGTTGAGAGAGATGAACTGAGACGGTACTGAACAGTAGATGGCAGTATTATGCCTGAGAAGCGTTTAGTCTGCCTGAAACCAAAGAAGAAGAAGAAGAAGCAGGTATACTGCGCCTCAGTAACAAGAAAGGTAAACAAGGCGGCAGGCGTGAGTGACTTTGCAAACTGTTTGGCACTGTGTGGCCAAACATCAGACGAATGGAGGATCATGCCTACTCTGTATCACAACGAAAAGCGGCGGACACCGAACCCCCGTCATCTAAGAAGCGGAAACACGACGAGAATAAACGCAAGCGTGACAAGAAACGGCAAAAAACACGGATCAACATTGGCACGGCATTTACACGATGGAAGTCACTGATGGAGGAAAAAGGTTTTCAAAGTGACGCTCAAGTTGCCAGTTTTCTCTTGGACAGGTAATTAATCCTACACACACAATTGTCTAATATCACTGCAGTTTTTGGAGTACAGGATGCTCAGACCTGTCTAAAACAATAACATGCTGCGTGATGATGCTGTTACTCTCCAGTATACTTATTCAGCAACGTCCCTGACGTTTCACAGGTAATGATTCAGTAATTTTCTGTAAAATAATTTTCTGGATATATACCTCGGTTACTTCTCTCCGGCTCCTTTGGAGATCTTCAAGCCTTTCCTCCTCTGCTCTCACCCCGCTGGCTCCCCTCTCTCGCCTGGCCCTAACTGCACGGCCTCCCTGCCTTCGCCCTTGTCCTCTCCCTCTCCCTCGCGTTGTAACCCCCGTGCCACCAAAATGACTTGGACTCTGTAAACGGGGAATATATATTCTTCCAGCGAACACAATCTCGCTGTTAAACTAATGACTACAATTACTTCGTCTGTTTATATCACCATGCAAAGCAGCTCACCAAGACGTCACAACGATGTAGAAAAAATAACGGGTATATTTATTATCTTAAGTCTACATGAAATCTATACCCTACACAGACTAATGAAACACTATCTGTAAAATTATCTATGTAAACAAACCTCATCACTTGAGAGGGTAGGTGATGTGGACGTCGTAGAAGAAATTTTGTCCCGTAACGCTCGCCGTACTGTTGGGGGGGAGAAGCGGTGGGGGGGAGATGTTCATGTTGCTGCGGTCTGTAGTCTGACCGCTAGATGTCGCTGAAAATTACACACTGTAGCTTTAAATGAAGTCAGTGGTTGAGTTGTGGAGAATCTAATATTTCCAACAATGTCTAACATGTCTATATTGGTAAATATAGACATGTTAGACATGTTTAATTGTATGATCTGGTGAACTGTAAAGTGCCTTGAGATGACGTGTTATGAATTGGCGCTATATAAATAAACTAAATTGAATTGAATTAAACATTTTACCCTTGTAATTACATGCATTCTGAGTTATTAACGTTTTGAGAGGTGAAGCGCCACCATCTGCCGGCTGTGGAGAAACGCGACAATGATCAGAAGATCTGCATGATCTGAAAGCTCCAATATTTTCATAGGGTCTAGAAAAAAGAAAACCGTCTTTCTGAAAGTAGAGGCAGTTATTTCGCTTTTTTTCACCTCCAGAGCCACCATCTCCGTGCTGTCCTTCAGGATACGGAAGGCGAAGGGGTGTTTGGGTCCCAGCCCGGGGACCACCTCACAGCCATTCAGGGGAAGGGAAGGCAGGGAGCTCCGAGGGTCCCCCCTGTCCTGGTAGAAGTGCAGGGAGCCTCTGCACACACAGCACCAGTGCTCTCGCCACACCTGGTTCACCAGCACCAGCAAGGAGCCTGAAAGCAGGGAAGGAAATAATAAACTGTACAGAAAAATCGGAGAATAAAGGAGGTCCTGAGAGGATCCGGTTGCTACCTTGCCGAGGATCGCTGCTGGATGTCCTGGAGTCGCCCGAACGGGACGACTTCTTCTTGGAGAAACTGATGATGCGTGTGATCTTACGTCCTGCAGCGAAAGCTCCACGTTTCACCTTAACTAAAACAGAATTGGAGCTGCTTTACATCTATCTGTAGTAGGGATTGGGACTTTTTTTCATCTCCAAAATGTTGCAACTACTAGCGGGTTTTTTTTCAAAGATTGTCCGGTTTTTAACAAGTTTTTCCACAACTTTAACACCACTCTGTGAAGTATCACTGAGTGCACACTGCAAAAAATAGAAATCTCAATAAGTTATTCTTTTCTTAAAATAAGTGCGTTTTTCCTTGATTTGAGGAGGTAAGTAAGACACTTTGCCAATGGAACAAGACAATTTCCTTTCAAAATTAGAAAAAACAATTTTATCGTCTTATTTCAAGTAAATATTATCTAACTATCTTATTTTAAGAGTGAAAATACTCATTCCATTGGCAAATCATCTTATTTACCTGCTCAAATTAAGGCTAAATATACTTAATTTAAGCCATTTTTTACTTATTTCTGGATTGTTTTTGCAGTGCACCAAACTATTCTGGTGTTATCTGATCCAACAACCATCCTGCACATGTTTTCTTTTTCACCTACATGACTATGGAGTCAGTTTTGATCTGTGATTGTTCGGAGCAAAGAAGGCATTTTTTTTTTTTTTATTAAAATGTGAAAAAGTTGCAAACCAGAAATTAGGCTTTGAGGAACGTTTTAATCAAAAACAGTTTTTAGAGCAACTTTGCTGTTTCTTTTCAAATGTTATTATTTTCAAATTTACTTTTCATATTTACTTATTTTAAATATGGAATTTCTTGTTTTGTTTAGCTGTTTTTTTTTTTTTTTTTACAAATTTGATGCTTTTCATGTTTTTTGCTCCATTTGGTAATTGTTTTTAAATTGCTTTCTTTAAAATTTGATTGATCAATTAACTTTACTGATCTCACAGTGGAGAATTTATTTTTGTTTTTTAACCTTTTAAAGCCCAAACCAAGAATAAAACAAAACAAAAAATTACTTTTTTTAGGGTTTTAAGTCCTTATTTGGCCTTTTAACAAAATATGTAAAAGGAAAAAACAGAAATACATTTTTGATATTAATAATTTATTACTATGCGATAAGTCAAGATTATTTTTTGTGTAGTCTTCTACTGGCTGTTATCAGGTATATCTGATTGTGTACAATAGGATTTTGAGCAAAGTTTTTACCATTAAATTATGTAAAAGATGTCAGACGCAAAACATTTCAGAAACCGTTTGTATCAAATATGATACATTTGGCATTATAGGGTTAAATTGAGTTTCACAAACTGCATTCTTTTCAGTTTGCTTTTTGAAATATTTTGCAATAAAACATGAAAAAAATTAAAACACTTATTTTTATTAAAACATTTTTGTTATTTTTCTGGATTCCATTTTCTTAAATCTAATCTACAAATGGATGGACGGATGTGGATTTGTTCCTACGGCTTTCATTGGATTTGATTCGCTTGGCTTGCCACGTCCTTGGTAGGTTTACAGTTTCTCCATTTCCTTTCTCTCGTTTTGAAAGCTTTTCTAAATAGCGCTCCGTACAATTTAATTTAGAGGTAATTTCATTAAAGGGGGTTGAATAAAAAAAAACTACAAATATCTTATTATATTTGATGACAATTTGTATGTATGTTCTCTTTATAGTTAGGGACCATTTTATGTTAGTCTACAGTGCTGGATTCAGACTTGAACCTCCAAAAGCATTTAAAGACAATTACTAGGTATGCTTTCTATCACCTGAAGAACATTTCCAAGACTAAAGGACTAATGTCTCAGCATGATCTGGAAAACTAATCCATGCGTTTATTTTTAGTCGCATTGATTACTGCAACGGTGTTTTTACAGGTCTGCCTAAAAAGTGGATCAGAAAGCTGCAGCTGATCCAGAACGCTGCTGCCCCTGTCCTCACTAAGACTAAGAAAGTAGAGCACATCACCCCAGTTCTAAAGTCCTTCCACTGGCTCCCTGTATCTCAGAGAATAGACTTTAAAATACTTCTGTTAGTCTAAAACTCTCTGAATGGCTTAGCATCTAAATACATGCTATCAGTGTATCAACCCTCCAGACCACTCAGGTCTTCTGGCTCCAGCCTGCTCTGCAGACCTAGAACCAGAACTAAACATGGAGAAGCAGCATTTAGTTCCTATGCTCCACTTATCTGGAACAAACTTCCAGAAAACTGTAAAAGTTCCTTTAAATCAAGACTAAAAACACATTTGTTTAGTATTGCCTTCCACTGTTCTAGTTAAACAGTTCAACTAAAACATATTTTCTTTAGTCCAACTGTTTGTAATATTCTATTATTATTTCTGCATTTTTATTTTATTTTTTATGTTTTCCTACTTGCTTTGATTCTGTTTATCTTCCTGTATTTTAATCATGTAAAGCACTTTGCATTGTCTTTGTACTGAATTGTGCTATATAAATAAATTTGCCTTGCCTTGCCTTACAAAAACTCGATCCGCTGCAGTTTAAGTTCTGACATGACAACATTTCCAAGGAGAATGAAAACATGCATGTTTAAACCGAGCAGGAGGTGAAGAAATGTCTCACCGTTCTCTTTGCTGCTCTCCCCCACGGAAACGCCCACGCCGTCTGAATCGGACGTGTTTCTGTCGACAGACAACCTCTGTGGAGGGAACAAGGAAATCACAGTTTTAGATTCATCAACGACGTCTGAATCCCACCCAAGGGTCGCTCAGCATGAGAACAAGTTTGACTGACTTTAGGTTAAGAGTTATAAAGACACAGAGAAAGAAACCACCTATCATGTGTTTGCCCTCCCTCCGCGGCGGCGGCTCATCTGTGTTTCTGTGTCAGAGGCTTTTCTAGTTTATGTTGGAACAATTTTCCTGTTAGCTTCGGACGATTTTCAAAGGCTGACTCACTGCCGCCTCTGTCATTGTAGCATTAACACAGGCATCCTGCTTCACTGCGCCGAGCCAAACAACTGTTTAGGAAAATTGATGGTGACAGCACAATTGCTACTTAAATCCAACTTTTCCTCACCTCAGCTGTGTGATTATACCCTGGGAATAGAAATGACAGGGAAGCCTAAGCATGAACATCCTCACCTTGTCAAGCTCGGTTTTCCTCTGGGTGTTGGGAGATGTGGCTTCCTCAGGTTCCCCGCTTTGACCGCTTGCCTCTTTCACGACCTACATGCGAGGAGTCCATTTAAATGTCCCTAAATTCTCAGTCTACATTTTTTACACGAACATGTCGACTCTACCTTTAACCACTTGTGAGCCTGTTCCCTGCTTTGAACCGCCAGCACCAGGCCATCGCCGTTGGGTAAGGTGAACCTCAGCTCGTGCTGCTTCTTCTTGCTGTCTTTAGGTACGTAGACCACGGAGCACTGCGGCAGCAGGAGGTCGACGTAGGGACACGTGTCTTTGGAGTTCTTATAGCACTGCAGGAAAAAGGAAAAGTGTGTTCTGAGTTATTATAATTGCCAGCTGCTGTGCCATTCATTGCGAGATTCATTTTAATGCAAGAAAATTTTCAGAACTACGCTGGTGAAGATTCTCAGTCATCCAGGTTATAGTCATTCCAATAAAGTTGTTTTAAAAATCCACTGGAGTGGTGTCTGCTGTTCAGTACAGCGAGGAATGCTCTGATCTTTATCTGGAGAAACCGAACAACCTTTCCACAAATTCATGGCCCAACACAGTAGATCGCCCTCCTCTGGACAAGATTCTGCAGTACAACTACACTTTATGGACAAAGGACAGAATGTTCACATTTTGGACAAAGAAGACAGGTGGTTTGAGAGGGGTGTGAAGGAAGCCATCTATGATAATAAAGAAAAACTAACCTTAAACAGAGGGGGGGGGACTCAGATTTCAGCTTTCAAAAACCTACATAGATAGAGCTGAGTCCTTCCCGCTATCATCGCAGCCCTAAACCCTTTACAGGGGAACAGAGGACCTCACCTTTTCAGCCAGGCCAACGATTCCCTTTACCAACCCCCCTTTCAGAGACATAGGCCCCGTCCACACGAAGTCAAACCCTGGCCTAAACGCACAAATTTTTCACCAAACCAGCCTCTCATCCATACGAAGCCGGCGTTTCGGGGGTCTGTAAACAATCTTTTTTTTATTCAGCCTTCAGAGTGGGACGATTTTGAAACGCCGTTTTCTCGTTTCCATCTTTACACACTAACCGCATTTTTTTTTTACAACATTACCCAACATTTCGTCGCCTATTTTTGCTTTGGCACCACAGCGCCACTTACAGGCCTGGCATACATTTTGCAGCGTTTTCATGCATTCCTGTGGTCGATCACATTTATTTTACGTCTCCGTCTTTACGACAAACGTTCTGGAAAATATTAGCGTTTCGTGTTCGTTTTGACTTCGTGTGGACGGGGCCATAGACAGGTATGTTGAATTGCAGGCTAACAAAAGAAGCCAAACGACCCCCATTCCAAAGAGATTGACCCGTTTGTCCATTTCAATTTGCATGTTTTCTAAACAAAAACAAGGCTTTGTTGCGCTTCTGAATAAGAGCCTTAAACTCAAAGCTATTTCTGACATTTTGAATTGAAATAGCTTCCTGGATGGGAAGCGAAATGTCTTCAAACTTGGAAACAAAGTCCAGTGGATTGCTTTTTTTTTTTTTTTTTTACTTTTTTGGTTGTACAGAACTGTGATTGGGAAGAAATATAACTCGTATGTTTTATGTCTTTGAAATACCCAGTGAAACCAGCTCTCCTACAGGTTTCTCAGCTAATGTGTTTGTATTGCATATTTTGAGAGTTGTTTTCCTGTAAAACGTAGCTAAGTTTGCTGACATAGACTACCGTAATTTTGGGACTATTAGCCGCACCTGAATATAAGCTGCAGAAGCTAAATTGCATGATTTGTACATATACAAGCCGCACCGGACTATAAGCTGCAGGTTTTTTATGTTTAGCACAAACTGTCTTGCGCTCGCTGTCATTCTGTCTCGTACCGCTCGCGGTAGAAGTCTGCTTCCGGAGGACTTCCGCATTCCCGCGCGGCTACCGTACTTGTGTGTTGAAGCAAATGTGACGTCAACATGGTTATTGTTAAATAAGCCATAAGGTCGTAAAATGGGAAGGAAGTCGCGGCTTATAGTTTACGGTATATCAAGAGTATTTCAGAACTAGGACCACACATTGGAAAAAAATCTAAATAAATTATTTGTTCTTAAAATAAGTGCATTTGTTCTTGAGGAGGTAAGTGTGACACCTTGCCAACAGAAAAAGACAATTGACATTTATATTTTTTTTTAAAAACATGGCCTTCTCTTATTTCAAGTGTGTATTATGTAAAAATACTAATTAAATTGGCAAATCTTCTTATTCACCTTCTCAAATTAAGGATAAATACATTTAATTAAAATAAAAAAAATGTTGACTTATTTCTAGATAATTTTGTAGTGCACCTCATGATTAATTTATCAATTATTTTTGCAATAATCGATTAAATCAAGAAGAGATACTTGAGCAAATTCATATATTTTTTTAAATACATATTTTAATTGTGCATTTTAACAACGTAAACAATAGATATAGATTTAATTATTTCTTTAATGCAAATTTTTTTAAATATATATATAATGTTTATGAACGTTTATAGATCATATTTGTATTTTTGTCTAAATTACTGATTTGATCTGACTACCAAATCAGTTGATGATTATTTTAATTATCGATTATTAGAGAGATTAGCTGTTTCAGTCCTCCTATTGATCTGTTGGCCATGGAACATAATAAATTAAATACAGGTCTGCAGAATGATTCTATGGAGTCAGAAAGGGGTCAAAATGTTTTTAAACTTCTAAATCTTAGTTGAAACTGAAAAAAAGAAGTTGATATTGAAAGTCAATTAAAATTTTCTTCATAACTTATTGCAGTTTGAGATTTTATATTTTCATATTCGAATCCATTTCTTTCATTTTATATAATCTTTTTGTTTAGTTTTTAGTACTAAATTAAGAGGTTTTTTTCCAAGCTGAGGGGAAGAATTTAGGTTCAAGTCTTATTACTTTATGTTTGCTTTTTTAGTTTCTCAGATTATAAGGTAAAATTTTGAAATTCAATGTGAACTTATATTTTTTTAGTTTCAACTAAGAAACTGTTTGCGGGTTTACAAACATTTCGACCCCTTTTTGACTCCGTAGTTCAGCTCTTCAAACACTTAACAATTAATCCGCCTGGCTGTGTTTTAGGAGGTGAACCTCTGCCCAGCTTCCAGCATTTAGAAATTTTTTTAACCCGTTTTTCTATCTAGTTCCTCTTGTATTTAGTTCCACCTCTACCGTTTCGAAAACATCCTCGTAGCATAAAGATGCTGTTTGCTTGTTTAGGTGCGGGTTTGTTATGATAGCCCCTCAGTTCCACTGCATGTGGGAGCGGCATGTATACGCCCAGGTTCAGCTGCGCTGCAGCTTCTCTACCGCCACCCTGCTACTGGGAGAGTTTTCAGATCGGAGCGACTCTGCACTGCTGAGCTTTGCTTACCTCAGAATTTCATCACCACACTCCTTTAGTCAACTTATTTAACTTGTTCTACCAGCGTCTCATATGGCGCCTCTTCATTTAATCACCATAGGTTTCTTTTTTTCAATTACAGCTAAGAGAGTAGAAATATTTCGTTTTTTCAGTTACTCTTTCGATTTATTTGTCATATTTTTATGGCTGTCTTTTACCAGTATAAACATATGTTTTTATTACATAAATAATGGAAATAATTAATCCATTAATTCCAGTTGATGCGTTTTGTCCTCCATATAACTCAGGGAATTTGGAACCCTCAACTACAGCATAAGATTTCAATAAAATGCATAACTATTAGTGTTGCACCGATACCAATACCAGTATCAGGCGGGGCCTGGATTCTGCATTAAAATGGTGGTATCGGTATCGGCGAGTACCAACAAATACCATTTTGAGAGCCAAAAGTTTATTGAACTATTGTCACCCATTCCAGGTAGGCAATAAAACGCTCTACTGGATTCACTTTATTTCTTTTTCCTGCATCAAAAAGGTAGGCAGCAGCTTGACAAAGCCTTGATGGCAATTATTTTACATCCTAGTAGTATACAGTTCTTCATATATACACACATACATCATTTCAAACAGATGGTATCGGTATGGTATCAGCAGAGATGGCAAAAGTACTCACTTTCCGTACTTGAGTAAAAGTACAGATACTTGTGTTAAAAAATACTCTGGTAAAAGTGGAAGTACTGGTTAAACTTCTTTACTCAAGTAAAAGTAACAAAGTACAGGCTTGTAAATTTACTTAAAGTATCAAAGTAAAAGTAGAAACCACTTTTTTCATGCCGTTGCCTACATTTTAAATGGATGTCTGCCAATAGGACTAGATCTCCGTTGTGTTCATTTTCAATCATCTCGTCGTCCATGCTACTATGCTAACGCCACCGCCACCAAGCTGCAATGATTTGCCGCCAATGAATACCGTCGAATCTGTCGATTCATCTTGTAGTGTTGCGTCAAATGCAACGTAGATTCCCATCCAATTACATTGAATTTGGTATTGATGACGTGAAAAATAATAACGGTAACTCCATTGAAATGATTCAAAACTAAAGTAACGAGCCAATTTTTTAAAATGTAAGGAGAAGAAAGTACAGATATTTGTGTAAAAATGTAAGGAGTAGAAGTAAAAAGTCGCCATAAAAATAAGTAGTAAAGTAAAGTAAAAATATCAGAAAAATCTACTTGAGTACAGTAACGAAGTATTTGTACTTTGTTACTTCCCATCTCTGGGTATCAGTATTGGCCAATACTGCACAGCCGGGTATTGGGTATCGGTATCAGGGCCAAAAAATGGCATCGGCGCAATACTGATAAATATTTGTGACAAAATGTGGAAACCTTCTGGGAGTCACTGGAAAGCTGCTAATAATTAGGAAAAGAAAAGGAGAATCTTTTACCTGCAGCCTGTTCTCCCGGATAACGGTGAACTGTTTGGCCCACTGGCCGAATCGCTTCTTACGCAGCAGGAAAGCACAGATGCGACAGTCTCTAACAGGAGGTATGTTGCTCTCCTCTGAAGGCCACTGATGAGTGACGCCGGCGCTCCTCTCCTCTTCGTCCTCCTCGTACGATTCGTAGGAACTGCTCAGAGCATCGGAGTCATTGTCTAACGGAGCAACGGAGACGATGAAGGAAGGTTTAGTGGATGAAAAAGAAGAAGAAGAAACTGGGACGTCTGTGGGGGGGGTTTAGCTCACAGGAGTTCTTGCGGTGCAGGTTAACTGAAGTAGGCGGGGAAGGGTTTTCCGTATCTTCATAGACGTCGTCGATAGAGTTAGGAGGGCTTGACCTGTCTGCAAATAGAGGACACCAAACCCAACTTACTCAATATATCTTTACTTTAAGGTAAAGAGCAGGGGTAACCGAATCAATCCGAATAAAGAAAATAATCAACCAGTAAAGGACATTTTTTAATTATAATCCGTTACTTTAAACAGAATTTAACACCGAAATAAAATGAAGTTTGACTAAGCCATTCTCAAGCACATATCAAGGAGCTCATTTTGAGCCTGGATCCAGATTTATTGTTGATTCTGTTCATGGTGGAGAATCCTGCTTCACAGCAGCAGGTTGAGCCAAACATCCTCTAAATGTGCAGGGTCATCTTTGAGCACGCCATTTCACTTTTCTTTCACCAGTTCACCGCAGTTCTTCCAGCAGTCCACACTTTCTCTGCTCTCTTTATCTCATGGTCTTCTCCTTCTTTCCCATCGCCCGGCTTGCCACAGGTTTGCCTGCTGTGTCTAAAAGTAGCAGCAGCAGCAACACAGACTGACAGCTCATTGGCTCATTTGGATCACGTGCAGCCTGGAGCCGGACGCTCCCCAGGGCTTTACCGTATTAACAGGAGAAGAGGCGCAAGTGAAGTTAGACACTGTCGTTGGACAACATGCGGTAATTTGTAAATGTTTTAAATCAGGTTGGGTCCGGATCCAGACTACGGTCCGCTAATCCGTGACCTCTGGTATAGAGGACAATCAACTTTGGATATGATTTTAATTTCAACATCACCAGCCGCAGCACTGTCTCAGTTGACTTTCTCTGGTTGCGCTACAGTCCGTATCCCCGGCTCCAACTTAATTAATTTTATTTTTCATTAAATAATAGAGATGCAAATAAATAGAAATAAAAAGTTCTCAGATAAGATCGGAGGTGTATCTATAACTACGCAACCAATTTCATAAAATAAGATTATGCTGTCTATGTTAAATTAATTCATTAACTTTATTTTAATCAAAAACAAAATAAAATAGCACAATATCACACCAAGATCCCCAATAAACCTGCTTTTCAGTTGATTGCAGGCCCACAAACGTCCCTTTTAGGACGGCAGAGGTCCCAAGCGCCACCTGGTGGTTATCCGGGTACATTGCAGTTCTAAACCGTGACCTCTGGTATAGAGGACAATCTTTTATTTCCGCGTGGATCATCTAAATCAGTGGTCCTCCTAATTGTCAATCATTCTGGTGATATGTTTACGTAAGGTCTTCCTGTGTGCTCTTCCCGTTAGCTATGTTTTTCTGCGCACCTTCATGCATATCTCTATGGTTATGGAAGCAAATTGTTACCATATTTAAAATGAAAAAGCATTTCCAGATATGCTTTTTCATTTTAAGAATGTGGCTGCATTATTTGGCTCATAAATGTAATTGGTAATCAATCATCCTGTTTGCATTTTCATTTTCTTCTTTAACACTGCACATTTTATGCCATAATCAAAGAGAAAACACAGCAGACATTGCTTTTTCGTTTTCATGGTCTACCAGCAAAGTACTGTCCATAACTCGAAAACGAAAAAGCATTCTGAGCGGCGTGGGCAGCAGAGTGACGTCAGCAGCCGCTCTTCCTCAGGTCCTTGCTGCATTGGTGTTATGCCCAAAAATGCATGCCTGCTGAGGTATGCATCCCCAGTCGCGGGAGTGCGCTGGTCAAACTGGTCAAACAATGCAGCCACATTCTTAAAATGAAAAAGCATTTCTGGAAATGCTTTTTCATTTTCAAATTTTACATTTCAAATTGAATTGTGGTATGAATTTGCTAGGGTAAATTTAAAAAAACAAATCTCAAATGTCTTTTTCTTTTCAATTTTAATTAAGTAAAAGGATGAGGAGTGTTGAAGAAGAAAATGCAAACGGGATTATTGATTACTAAATTCATTTATGAGCCAAACAATGCAGCAACATTCTTAAAATGAAAAAGCATTTCTGAAAATGCTTTTTCATTTTAAATATGGTAACAATTTGCTTCCATATGTGGTATGCTAGGGTTTCAGACAGTCATTAAAGCTCACCTTTCTCACCGTTCTTTGAAAATGGCCGATGGTCGCAAGAGAAAATGTGTCTACGAAGTGTATGACAAGAAAAGAAAGGCCTCAGAAGAGGCAGATATATCCCAGAATGCTTTGTGTGAAGTGCTCTCCTCGCAAAGGATTCTGGGATTCCCTGTCACAGCTGCCCGCTGTCGCCATAGGCTGTCGCTACCCGACAACAGCGACTAATAACAAAGATGATGCACACTACGCAGTGCAGAAGGAGGAGTTACATGACCAATGTAGCAAAAAGCAGTGATCATCTGTCTGAACGGTCAGTTAACTGAGTTTGCTATAAAGTCCAGTATATATCCCTGTTCTATATAGTGATTGAGGCATTTAGGGGTTAGAGGGATGTTCAAGCGATGAGAACAGAAGCTTATAAACAGAGCATGCATGAGGAGAAATGGGCTTTTGCACGCTCTCGCACGAGTTTAATAGGTGTTCCCTCCATGGAGCCGGTACAGGGTTGTGCATGTGCATTTTCTTTAAAGTGAAGAGGGCGGGTCTTTTAAAAAAATCTTGAAAGTCCTCCACAATACCTTTAAATCTAACTTCTGCTTTGCAATTATAACTGAAAAAGGAAACACATAAACATATCTGGATGATTTTTACAAAAAAGCTGTTAAAAATTGGGGTTTTCTATAGAAAACTGTCCCAAAAGGTCACCAAGTTCATCTTAAATGTGCTGACCTCGTGTGATGATGTACTCAGGAGCCATGCCGGGACTGAGAGGCACCGCCTCCTCATAGTACTCCTCAGGAGGAGGCGTTGTGGGCAGCGGGGGAGGGGAGTCTGTACAGCTCTGCGAAAGGCAGACACATAAATACAAACAAAGTCAGGCTTCCTCTTTAGGCCAAGTTTCCACTTTTTTCCAAAGCCAAAGAGTAACAGAATCTAAACCTCAGCAGTAAAAGGTTTTCCATAAATTAAACACATGGGTGGATATCCTAATCCTCAGTTTTCCAACATCATGGTGACTGCTGATGTGAGCAAAACTGGGGAAATCCCACATTTATCCAACAGTATCCCTGTGATATATCATCGCTTTGAGTTCATAGTGCTGCGATTTCTATTTGCCAAATCAGGCGTAGAGAATTAGTGTAGAAGACAACAAAACTAATCTTTGTTGTGTTACATCTGCAACAGATAGGAAACATCGGAGCATTTATCTGGGATGGCTGCACTTGCCTGTTTTAAAGAGTCATCTTGTGTTTTCTTGTCGTCTTTCAGGTAATCTGTGATGTCCCTCAGGTCCCCAAGCTCACAGTCTGGGACAAACAAGAGAATATGCATTCAAAAGTTTAAAAAACTCAGGAGCATCTCAATATACACAGAGGTGTACATGTTGCTTCATATTGCTGGTGCTCACCAAATTTCTCAAAGAGAGACTCCACGAAACTTGTCCCATTTTTGTACACAGAGGAGTTCACATAGATGTAGTCTGGACCTGATTCTAAAGGACAGAGTCAGCAAACACGGTAAGGATATCTGCACAAAACAATGTGAGTGCAGGAAATAAAATTAACAAAGTAATCAAAGTTCAGTTGTAATAACAGTGTAGAAATACTGGATCCAGTTGGGCCCATATGAATGGACTGCTGTGTTTTTATTTTTTGGAAATTTCATAGAAATAGAAAAAAAATAGAAATGATTTACATCTCTAAGAAAACATGTGCTGTTAAAATACAGTTTAAGGTCATATTTGCAGTATTTAAGTGTAGACGGTGTATAGACGGTAGACAGAGGACTTTCTGGGCGATGCCAGTAGAACCTGCTGGAAAGAAAATAAACTGCACAAAAAAGCAGGGGTCTGTTAGCCTGATAAACCAGACTAAATGTGAGATTAAATGTGTAATTTAGTCTAGACCCGATGAATGAAACATCGCAAGATTGTTGATGAGAACAACCTGTTGTTTTTCAAACCGCTGTCTGTGCCTGTGAGGTAGTAGAAACAAACAGCCTGTCGGTAAAACGGCGAATACGTTCCTTCTTAAAAATGCATGACCGTAGAGCCTCTTCCTGCACACATTTCAACGAAAACACCACGTCTAATCCTTCCAAAACTGATTCCAAAGCTGAGTCAAAAATCGGCATCATACCCAGCGGTCCTTTGCACACGACTATGCCGAGAGAGGGCCGCTGCAGACGGGCTAATGTTACCCTGGCTGCAGTTAGCCTCGGAGCTCCACTGGTTGCCGCAGTCCTTCCAACTTTGGAAATATTTTTTTTAATTACGCATAAAATCTGTAAATGGACCATATAGTGACGATTTATATAATATTATAATATTCTCCCCGCAAATGATCTTAAAACATAGCCTACTTTTATTGAACAACAACAACAGAAAAGAGAACTTTTATCTTTCAAAGGAGTGCTCCATTCAATTCAATAGTTGGTGCCATCTTTCTTGTTGTGCTTTCTCCAGAGTCGTGCAGCTTTGTCATCACACCCTCAAAACTCCGCCTGCTTTGCACCCAAAAATTTAGGGCCTGGGGCATTGATCGAGGTTATACCCCTCGCAGGCAAAAATGTTTTTTTGCCGCTGGCGGCTGGGGCTAGTTTACTAGGCTACGGGTCTGTTTCAAAATGCAGGTTTACTGAAAACTCTAAAATTTTCTAAAACTGAAATCAGGCAAACTCTAAAGCCGTTTCTCAAGACACAAGAACACGAGTACGGACTCGTTTCCTCGCCATCAGAGCCAGCAGTCTTTCACACACAGCTATGCCGAGAGAGGGCTGCTGCAGATGGGCTAACGTTAGCCCTTGCTGCCTGACACTTCACTCACGCTCCGCGTGTTTCACAAATTGCGTGAAAAACATGTGACTACTATAGCCACTAGGTGGCAGTCTGAGAGCCGCATGACACCCCTCGCAGTCTGCTTCTTGACCAGACTGGGAGGGGTGTCACATATTTTACGGCAAGAGAGTAACACACAAAAACAGTATAACAATACGCCTGTTATTATCAGAGCAAGATTTTGAGGGAGTAGAATGATAATCCCTATGATCTAATGTGATAAAAAACGGTGTGGTAGCGACAGGTGGGTGCTTTTTTTTTTATTACAGACCAAGCACAGAAACTCTCGATGGATTTTAATGAAGTTAAAGATTAGCTTGACTTTTGATCCTCAAAGCTGTCAACGGCACTTATATTTTACAAAACTAAAGAAAATATATTTCCTTACATACCCTTTTGAATAACTTTGGCTTATCTTAATGAGGAATCAACTTTGGATATGATTTTAATTTCAACATCACCAGCCGCAGCACTGTCTCAGTTGACTTTCTCTGGTTGCGCCTCAGTCCGTATCCCCGGCTCCAACTTAATTAATTTTATTTTTCATTAAATAATAGAGATGCAAATAAATAGAAATAAAAAGTTCTCAGATAAGATCGGAGGTGTATCTATAACTATGCAACCAATTTCATAAAATAAGATTATGCTGTCTATGTTAAATTAATTCATTAACTTTATTTTAATCAAAAACAAAATAAAATAGCACAATATCACACCAAGATCCCCAATAAACCTGCTTTTCAGTTGATTGCAGGCCCACAAACGTCACTTTTAGGACGGCAGAGGTCCCAAGCGCCACCTGGTGGTTATCCGGGTACATTGCAGTTTTTTTTTTTTTTTTTTTTTTTTTTTTTTTACAGTGTCCTGTCTGGCAAGGTGGCAATAAGAATAATTGTATTGATGCCAAAAGGAGCCCAACAGATTTTACTTTCACAAGTGTAGCGGTATGGCAATTGCCATACTGCTCCACTTGTTTCATGTATATAAATTGCTTTATTATAATTATGCAGGGAGTTTTACAGTTCATATGGACACTGCAATGTAAGTAGAGCAGAAAAACAGAAGAAGAAGAAGGAAAAAGAAAAAGAAAAAAACAGGACAAAAGATGAAAGAAAGAGGAGATAGGAAGGAGACAATGACAAAACATTTTCAGTCTGCTTCAACACCTGTAATGAGATGGAAAAAAAAAAAAAAAAAGAACAGCACAACCAAAAAACATGGTACGAGATATACAATAAAGCAAACACCTTGAAACTATCGCTAACGTAATATTATTAAGTCTGACATGTACTCTGTGTTACCTGAAGATAAGAATGTGGGGTTTCTGTTTGGAAGTGAATCTCTAAGTACCTGAAGCCTAGCACCTGTAGTTGTTTGTGAGGGTGAACTTGTGCATGTAAAGTTTTAACCATAGAAAAAATGCTCAATAGTGGTTGTGGAGAGCCGGAGAGGCACACCCCCCAGAGCACTGAGTCCAGCGCCGGGAGACCCAAAGCCCCAGGCGCCCAAGGGGACCCCAGAAGCGAAGGCACCAAGGCGGGGCCAGCCCCGGAAACCAGACCCCACCAAGGCAGGAGGAGAGACAGCCACGAAGAAGCCCCCCAGCCACCGCCATGCCGGCGCCCCGGGGAGCCGCGGGGACGAGTCCACGGGCCCCGCCGGCAGCCGGCAACCCCGAAGTAGGGCCGGGCACCGAACACCAGCCCCCCCACGGCGCCGACCGAAACGCCCCAGCCCCACAGAGCACCGAAACACGCCCCGCCCCCCAGCACCAAGCCCCGGCGACCGGCCGCAACACCCACCGCGACCGCACCACCCGCAACACTCAGGCGGCCCCGCCCCCGGCCGGGGCCCATGCGCATCCGCCGCGAACCGGCCGCGAGCGCCGCGGGACCCCCCCAAAACGCCCCCCCGGCCAAAAGCGCAGCCCCACCCCACCAAGACTGATGCCAACAGCGCGCAACGAAACACACCGCGCACAGAATCAGCCCGAGAGCAGAAAAGCCGCCCGGCGCAAAACCGCAAGAAGAGCAGACCGCAGCCGGCGCAACCACCCCCCCCCAGCAGCCCGAGGGGCAGCACAAAGCCAGAGCGGAGCGAACCGCGCCGCCCCCCCACCGGACGAAGCCAAAGCAGCCCAGCCACGTCCGCCGCCCCCCCCCGCCGCCCGCACCAGGCCCTGACACGCGGCCAGAGCAGCTCCGCCGCCCCGGCCCCCCACCACGCGCCGGCCATAGCCACTCCAGGCCCCCACCCGCCCCGCAGCCCCACCCGCCGCGATCAGCGGGAACAGAGCAGCCCCGCCATGCCTCCAGGAGGGAAAACCCACCCGAATACCTAGCCAGCGCAGCCAGCCCGCCCAGACCGGCCCCCCAACACTACCCCCGCCGGAGCCGCCCGGACCCCCACACACCAGCGGCGCGCCGCCAGCAGGACCCCCACCCAGCAGGCCCGCCCGCCCCCCGAGAAAACAGACATGCCAAACCCCCCAAAGGAAGAAGAAAAAAAAAAAAAAATTAAAACAATTGCAGTTCTTTTTGAAATAAAAAAACTGGCCTCAGGAAATTCATCGTGATTCACGTGGGAATCACACAGAAATCATGCAGGAAACCGTCCATTTCCAACCAGCGCCCACTGTACCCTCAAAGCTCAGCTGCTTGCCGCATTCCTCTCAACTTCGGAAATTGTTTTTTTTTTAATTACGCTTTGCTGCATTTCCTCTGACAATATGATTCTCTGTTATTAATGATTAATCACTGCCTACGAAGGAATATAACTGTTGATTTGAAGTATTTTTGGTGTTTTTCTTTTTTCCAAAGCAGTGTCTGGTTTTGTGATGCTCTTGTCATGCTAAGTGCTAATAATGCTAATACATGCTAATACTTGTCCGTTGGAAATCTGACCTGTTGTCTGGATCTGCTGTAGGAGGTTCCACACTGAGGTTTTCTTCTCCAGGGTGGATTTGCTAAGGTTCTCTTGGTCCAGCATCTTCAGCAGCAAACCCAGCTCCTTCACCAGCACCTCCACTGCTGCAAAGGGCCAGAGTGAAAGGTCAGGAGGTCATTGCATCAGTTTAGAAACAGAAGAAGAGGGCAAAGATCAGATGGACCAGTCTAAACAAACCCAAAGGATTTATTTAGGGTTTTCTCTGCTCTTTGATTGTATGTCACATTGCTTCACAGTGTAAGCCGTCTCAACACAGACACTCCCCTAAAGTCAGACCAGACTAAACAGAAACGAGGCTCCATAGTCAGGAAACACTTTTAATTGGTAATTGCCTCAATCAGTGAGTGCATCGTTGGTAGACTGAGCATATAACCATGATATGCAAAAATATTTTCCTTTACAGCTACATAGTCAGTTTATGAAAACCGTCCGAACCGTTCGGTTCGACTGTCTCGGTTCGGTCCGCGTGTGTTTCGTTCGGTTCATGCGCTGCTCCTTTTTCTCATAGGCGAAGCGTTTACACTCCAGAGCAGAAGGTGGCGGTACTGCGACCAAAGCCAACCACCAGTAGTAAACAAGAAGAAGAAGAAGCGAAGCAGCGTAGCCGGGTGTAGCAGGAAAAAAAATCAGTTGTTGTGGAGAATTGTGTGAGTATGGCGAGTGGGAAAGAACAGGAGTTGGAAGACGCGCCAGCAGCACTTTATAGGTCTGCTGTATGGGACCACTTTGCATTTAGAGTGACCTACGATGACGGCGGAAAGAAAGTGGTGGATAAAAGTGCAACAGTGTGCAAGCATTGTGCAACACGTTTTGTTTATGCTAACAGCAACACGACGAATATGTCAGGCTAACAATCAACATATACCGAACCGAACCGAAAACCGTGACCAAGAAACCGTGAACCGAACCGAACCGTGGAATTTGTGAACTGTTCCACCCCTAATAGTCACGTTGTATGCCTATAAGACCAAAAAAAATATATTTCATAATGAGAAAATAAAACAAATAAACGATTTATCAAATTAATCAGATTAATCGATTATTGGAATAATCATCAACTCATTTAGTAATCGATTGATCATTAGCTGGAGTATTTAAAACTCTTATAATGCCTTTAGCTGGCAGAGCAACCCACTTAGAGCAGTAATTATGCCAAAATAATAATATAAAAAAAAAAAAAAAAAAAAAAAAAAAATATATATATATATATATATATATATATATATATATATATATATATATATATATATATTCTGCCTTTAAGACAAAAATATTTTTTGTCCGTCAATATACTCCTTCAATTGTTCAAAAATATCCTCTTTCAGGAACTTTTTGTAATTAATTATTAATCAATTAGCATAAAAATAACAACAACAAAAAACCTTCAGAAAGACATTGATTGCAACCAGAGTGATTTACTGTTGTATAAATAAAAAAACAAAATGCGACTACCAGTAAGAGTAAAATTTATGCTTTTTGAGGTAAGTTTATGTTAATGCTGTTGCTGCTAAGCAGTCATCTTCCCTGCTGTTATATAATCTCCTATCATATTAATTTTGTACTCATTTTTTGGCCCAAGAGGCTAAAGCTAACAGCTAACAGCAAGAACAACTAAAGCTACGGCGGAGTTTTCTGTCCCAAAAATGTCAGATCTCCAAACCTCACAGTAATTGTTTAAAATTTAGTTTTATAAACTTTAAAGCCAAAGCTCCCTTCTTGCTATGGGTGGTTGTTTAACTGTGAAAAAAATGGTTTATTTACAGAGAAAATAGAGGAATATATGAATTGACACTTGTGATTCCCAATTTGACACACATAGTGAAAAAACGTGCAGAACGTTTTCAGGAAAATCTTTGTGCAGTACAAAATAAAGCATTGTGTCACTACCCGATCCGACCAGTAAGCACGATCCGTCCTGTGCATGCGCAAACAGAATAACTTTAGGGTAGGCGACACTTTGTTTTTCTTACTTTTTTTATTATTTTGTCTTTTTATGGTGGGGGTTTCTTTCAAATATTTTTGTATTTGCATAAATATTACATATTCTAAAATCAAAATAAAAGCAATTAATAGCCTTTCGACCGTTACTGTGACTGCTTTGAACATGTCTGATGATGACGTCACCTAATACAATGCAGAGAATGTAAAACGCATCCATTTCATCCAGAAAAGTCTTTAATATTTCCTATACAATGCAGTTAAGCATTCTATAATGTTTTAAGTATGTAAACAAATATTTTCAGTAGCGTTATTGCGTAGTTTTACGGCGATCTGGATCTTATTATTCTGTTAGCGCATGTGCAAGGTTAGTGACACTGCAGCATGCTTTACATTTTTATCACAGCTGAAAGTAACAAGCGCTGTACCCCCTGACTGGAAATGGCTGATACAGAAAAGAATAAAAACATATCATCATTATAAAAACAGATATTCTTTCACAATAGCCTGTGATGTTCCTATTTTTTCCAGATCGCTGCTGGTTCTGTATCCCTTGAAGCCTCATATTAAAAGATAGAAATGAGTCACATCATTTGTTGACTTGAAAGCCGGAGATGATGTCCATTCTTTTCTCAAACCAAAACTTAAACAAACGTCCTCCCTAACCCCCAGCTGCTGAATCTTCCCAGAAAGGTTTTGAAAGAGCTGCATGTGGTTCACATTCCTCTTTATCTTATCTTAAACCACAAGGAAGCGCCACGAGAAGAAAACCTACTGCTCGTCTCCTGCTTCCGTTTTGCCAGTCAAGGCCTTCCAGCGTTTACTCTTTATCCTTACATTTATTACCCGAGCTGCAGCTTGTCTACCACACCACGCCTGCAGAGTTCCCACTCCTTCTATCTCATTCCCTCACTCACTGCTCCAAATGGGCTCATTTTCACAGTCCAGTCGAGTTAGGCCCACTGAAGCGTGTGTCTCACCAGGGTCAGACACGGGACAGATGCTGCAAGGCTCTTTGTTCACTGGGCGGTCATACGGCAAAAAGAAATGCTGCACTGAACACACACAAATGTCCACACAAACATAGACAGACCTACATGGACAGAAAAACACAAGCAGGCTCGGTTTGTGTTTTTAGTGAGGTGTGTCTGTGTGACCTTTGGTCTGCAAAGTAAGGAAACTTTGGAAGGTATGGAGAACATATTCTAGCAGCTTTAGGCTCCAGGATGTTTCGCTCTGACAGAGAGATGCTTCATTTAATTACTACTGAGAAGCTGCCAATCTTCATAAGTTGGGAGTTTTACTCTTTGTCCTTTAAAGAAAAAGACTGGGTCACAATCAGAATACAAACTTCTCAAAGTACTTGAAGAATGAAATTATTACAACCTTTTCAATAAATGAAAAGTGTTTTAATTAAGAGTAATTTAATTTGAATATGCTTTACTGGAGGCATCCATGTTTGTCAAAGAACACCACTGCCACCTACTGGTTTGTGATGTCACGGTGCGGTATCGGTAACCTGACTCCGCCAGATGGATTTGCTCCGCATATCCATCTGGAAACCTTCCATTGAAGTAATTTTGGGAAGGGGCGAAAATACTGGTTAGCTGATTGGCCTATGTTGGTGATAGACGGGCCAAATAAACCAATCAGATCAACGAAGCATATGACGTACTAACAGAGCGACAACGAAAACACAACCACAAGCCAGGCTCAAGCCAATTGATAGATCAAACTCTTGCCCAAACCAGTCGGGAGGAGAGAAAAAACATATTTTCCTTTGAGAAAAGCCTCCAGAGCAGTGTTTTGCTCTTCTTTCAGTTAAGAGAAATACTCGATAGCCACGCTAATCTTAGTTTCGTCGGCTGAAGCCGCCATGTTCTTTAGACTCAACTGTCACGCTTCTCGTTGCGTCACACCTCAACCCGCCTCAAAGCCAACGCTGATTGGACGTTCGTTTGGTGAATGGCTCCAAATTTTCTTTAACGGAAAGTAGCCAGACTGATCTGCGAGTGAAACCTTGAAAGCCCGCGAGATCAGGATGGTCTCACGAGGCTACGGTATCGGCTGTTGATCAAGTCCCAGTGCTGTATCTGGTGTTTGTCCCAACACGCTATTATCCATGATGCTGACGACCACTGCACTATGCGAAGCAGAGAATAACAGGGTAATGACGTGTTTTTTCTCTGGCCAGAAGTTCAATGGAAAATCCTCCTTCTTCAATCCAACGACGAACCCGTCCGTGGAGGATCAGGAATGGGAAAGGTGAAATAACTAATTTGCTTTCCCTTTTACGAGATGTATTCCAACATCCAGCTGCCATGCACGTGGGCATTGTCAGTTTCACTATAGCTCTGGTGAATTTCAATGGTGAAGTCCTCTGGAAATCTTCAATAATTGTTGTTGATTGCAGATGTGTCTAGTAGTTCCCATTGATTTAGCTTGTAAAGCGGGGAGAATGGCGCTAGGCTTACCGCACCGTGACATCACTGCCGGAAGATGGCAGGAGGGAGGGGTTACTATATTTGGGCAAAAATGGCCGCTCCCAGACAAAGTGTTTGCGACAAAAAAAAAATATATTTTTTACTGATTAATGCTTGATTCATTAAATCACCACGAACCTCTTAGTTTTAGGTATAGATAATGACCCATAGGTTATTTCTTGCTGACCAGACTTTTCCTTTACAGCCCCACTCCCTAAAAACAGACATAGTTTCCTCAGGCGGGTCTTCCTATGGGCTCAACAATGCTCTGCCATGGCTACAGTCAACATCTACAGCCGGCATGTGTTTGTCTGTTTCTGTTTAAAGACACTGCTTTCCACCTTAGTGTGGTTTCCTTCCATTGTAATAAACAGTCAGAGAATTGGGCATGAGGAATTAATTCACGCAGGGACTTGGAATGCCTCCTCGTTAAGATCCCATTCATCCAGTGGAAAGAAGGAAGTGGAGTTTAGCGGGGAGAGGAAGTTGGCGTTAGGTGGGACGTCTTTAACTGGTGAATGTTGACCTGCTGCCAGCTGCTCCAGCTGTTTAGATCCTGGCTTTGGCTCAGCACTGGACTTCCCCTAACCGGGCGAAAGACAAAACCTCTTCCACAGCATGAGTCACTGAAATATATACCACTCAGCACTAAATCAAACATA